CTCCTTCAACACACCCGCCTTCCTCAACACCCCCACAGTACCCTCCACAACCACCCCATCAACGCCCCTCGTCCCCCTCGCAAACTTTACAGTCTTCAACCATTCCCTCGCATCCCCCACACTATAATCCAGGGTCCCCGAAATATACTGTACCGCTTCCTCGGCATGCTGCTCGAAATAATGGATTCCGAGGTCCAGTTTTTCGAAGAGCGAGGTGAGGCGTGGGTCGGTGGATGGAGTGGTGGTTGTGGATGCTACGATTTCCCAGCTGGGCCAGGGTGTAAAGATCTAGGGGGCGTGTTATTATTTGAACTCGTTGAGATTGAAATTGGAAGTGGTATTGGCGTTGGAGTCAATCTTAAAATTAACTACCTAATGTATGTTTCAAAGAAGAGAATATAATATGTATGGTATGTATGTATAATGTAAGAGAAGAGTGAGAAAAAGAGAAGAGTGAAAAGAAGACTGCGAAAAGAACACAAAACATACCTCACCAATCCTCTTGATCTCCCCATTATCATAATAACGCTTACTAGTAAAATGTTCCCACATGAAGAAATCCGCCGTCCCGTCATTCACCGCATTCCGCAATTTCTCAAACGTCTGTAGCGGCTTGACCTCAAACGGCGACGTGGATGTGGTAAGCCAGCCTTGGGAATCAGCGAGGACGAATCCCATTACATAGGAACCAGATCCGATTCGCGAGACGCCGATCTTGTTATGCTTTTCCAGATCCGCCGTCAAATTGATATCTGAGCGTGAGGAGCCTGTGGAAATTGCCCAGCCTGGGGGGTGGGAAATGGCAGAGGTAAGCTATTACTCACTTTACTTTTATTCTACTTTAGGATCAATACTCCTCACTTGAAGGTTTTGGAGATGGGAATGGCAACGAGAATGGGTAACATGGAAGAAACACGGGATATAGGTACATAGAGGTGTCTCGACATATGTCCCGACGATCTTATACCCGCCCTCATTCTCTGGCGCAGTCCCTGTTCCTAGACCTGCCACCCACCCCTCCGTGAGCCCGATTCCGACATCGATCTCGCCTGCGCGGAGGGATGTTATCATGTGGCCTGTGCCGGAGGGGAAGGCGATCAGGGTCGCGGATAGGGAGAAGTATTTTTGTGCAAAGTAGAGGGGGGTGCTGAAATGTTCCTTTTGCGAGTTAGTTAGGGGGGTATTTGGGCGGGGGTTTGTTTGAAGGGAGGGGAGATGGATTTACAGGGACGTAGCCTATGCGGAGTGGTGTGCTTTCTGACATGGTGAGTGAAGTGTGTACGGGGCGAATTTAAAGAATTGGAGATCTGGATTGAACAAAGGGAACTTGTGCAAAGTAGTGAAGTGAAGTTGTAATGCATGTTTGGATGATGAGGCATGGAGGGGTAACCTTAGAGTGGGGTACTCGAGTTACAGTATAGTACACCCCACCTCCGTCCACCGGCGCGGAACATCTTATCTTCCCACCCTTACTGTACAGTAGAATATCATACCACCAACCACTCATACACCCTCCCATATCTTTTTCTCCCCTTCCTTTCCCTTTCCTCACAACCATCGATCCAATCATGGCATCCTCAACCGCCCAACGCCGCCTCGTGCAAGAATACCGCGCCCTAACCAACAACCCCCCAGACGGCATCACCGCGGGCCCCGTCTCCGAAGACGACATGCTGTACTGGGAAGCTCTGATCCAGGGACCCGAGGGCACGCCCTTTGAAGGCGGTGTGTTCCCGGCCGAGTTGAAGTTTCCTAAGGATTATCCGTTGGCGCCGCCTAGTATGAGGTTTTTGGGGGAAGTGTGGCATCCAAATGGTATGTTGGACTTATTTATCTTCCTATCTTCTCGAAGATGATTCGTCGGAAGGAATGTAAGCTTGGAATTGGAAGATGAAGTGCATTCTGAGCTCGAGGCTTAGAAACGAATTCCGTTCATTAAATACCTTGCGCGTTTATCACCTATCCCATCTTCTACTAACTCTTAAGCTACCCAGTATACCCAAGCGGCCTCGTCTGCATCTCAATCCTACATCCACCCGGCGACGACCCCAACCACTACGAGCACGCCTCAGAGCGATGGTCACCGATCCAGAGCGTGGAGAAGATCCTGATCAGCGTCATGAGCATGCTGGCCGAGCCGAACGACGAGAGTCCTGCGAATGTGGAGGCCGCGAAGATGTGGAGGGAGCAGAGGCCCGAGTATGAGAGGAGGGTGAGGGATGGTTGTAGACGCATGTTGGGGCTTTGAATGAACGGAGGGGTGGGGCTGGAATGTAGGGTGTAAGGTGTAGGGAGGCATGGGTTGGGATGCATTGCATTGCATTGCGGCATTGCGTTGTGTTGGATGGGAGAGAAACGGATACGGATAAAGAGAGAGATGTGCATATCAGGGTACGGAGTTCATGGGCTTGGAGTGGATGGTTTTGTTAGTATTGGTTGAGCGAGCGTTATTAGGATTATGATCAAAAGCGACATACTAATCGTTCTTTTTGACACGTTGTTAAGTGTGCTATGGAAACTCTGCTGGATCTATTTCTTCAGACCGTACATATAGAGGCAATGATGGATCTAGTAATGACGAGAATTTTACAGAAGCACAATGCGGTATAGCAAATCTCCACTCACTCAAAGGGAAGAGTAAGTAATCAGGTGACGTTGAAAAAATATTGGAATAGCTATCTATCACATCAACCTATAGTTTTTTTTACCTTGCCGGAAACTTAAAATTCAATCTTCCAATCTTCCCCAATTGCAACCTGTGGCCTCCTAACAACTGCCCAAGCCGCCTTGCCACCCTCCTCGGCATGGAATTCAAGCGCAGCATCCTTCCCAGCAGCTTTGACACTGCTCTTCCCCTCCCACGCCTTGGGAGCACCGACAATAATGACCCTCTCAACGCCCACACTCTTCATAGTCTTGAGATACTTATCCGTTAACTTCCCCTTCGTTCCCAAATTCCTGCTCTCAAGCACACCATCCTTGTATTCAAAAGCACGGCGGATATAAGCCCCTGACTCGTAATCGAACGTCTCCCCATCATCAACATACAACTCACCACTCGCCATCCCGTTCTTGCTAATGACAACGACAAGCGTATACGGATCCCATTTCATAAGTCCACTGCTGCGTCTAGGGCGGTCTTTACGGGGAATGATATGACCGCCTTGCATCAACAATGGAATCTTCTCAAGCGGTGCCTGAATAGTCTTATGGCCCTGCCCTTCGTATTTCGTGAAATCAAAATAATCGTAGTAGACCTCGTTATCCGGGATGTAGATATCGACGCTCGTGGCACCTTCCGTGACGACGGGCTTGGCAAGAAGCCCAGTACTGCCGACGAAGAACTGGTCATCGATCGCGAAGCCTGCTTCGTCCGACGGGTACATGAAGTAATGCGGGCGCAGAATAGGAGTTCCGTCCACAGATGCTTCGTGGAAAGCAGTGTACCACGCAGGAAGCAGAGCGTAGCGGAGACGCAGGGCCTGTGTGATAATACCCATGTACGGGTCGCCGACGAGATAGGGCTCACGGCGACGAGTGTCGATGTGAGCGTGTCCGCGGAAGAAGGGGTAAAAGGCGCCAGCTTGGTACCAGCGGGCGAGGAGGTCCTTTTCGGGGTTACCAAAGAAACCTCCTACATCGGCGCCGGCAAAGGGGAAGCCGGCTATGCCGTTGTTAATTATCATGGGGAATCCGGCGGCTAGATGGTCCCAGTTTGCTTGGTTGTCGCCAGTCCACATTGCGCCCATACGCTGGCTGCCTGCGTAGTAAGAGCGAGTGAGGACGAAGGGTCGACGGAGCTCTCCCTTTTTGCGTTCCAGCATGGCTTGGTATGTTGCGTTAACAAAGGTCAAACCATTGACATTGTGAACATCACGATGCTCCCAGTTACCATGATGAAGGTTGTCCTTTGGCATGGTAGTTTCTGGACCGTTGAAGACTGAAGGCTCGTTCATGTCGTTCCAGATGAACAGGTTGGGGAGCGACTTGAAGGCATTATACTTGAAAAGACCAACCCACCATTTAATGGCATCCGGATTGAAACAATCGACCCAGTGAGATGAACCTGGCCAACACCAACCCTCGTAGATATTTCCATCCTTGTTGTGGACAGCCAAGTCTTTCTCTTTCAGCTCCTTTACCACTTGATACCCTTCTTTATTCTTGATATGAGGGTCAATGATAGCTACAAGCTTTCGATCGGACTTGTCAAGATGCTCAAGCATGCCAATTGGGTTGGGGAAGGTAAGAGGGTCCCATGTGAAGTATTGCTTGTCATCAGTATACTCAATGTCAAGCCAAATAACATCATATGGAATCTGATGTTTGGACATCTTTCTATCAACATCCTTTACATCCTCATCACTGTTGTAGTTCCATCGGCACTGATGATAAGCGATAGCGAATTCCTGGGGCAATTGAGTATAGCCAGTCAGTTCTCCATATGCCTTGGTAACATCCTTTGGAGTAGGACCGAGAAAGACGAAAACATCAATCAAACCACTCTCCGAAAACCAGTGAGTTTTGGTATCAGTCGCAGATCCAATTCCAAGACTCAAAGGATTGTGTGCCTCTTTTTGTTTGATGATATCAATCCAGGTCTCGGCAGCGTTCATCCAGAATACACCGACCGTGGAGTCTTTACGATGAGCTTGCATAAAAGGAATAGCACCATATAGAGTCATAGGGCTATCCATGATATACTCGAAAACATCAGCGTTGTAAAGACGGTAAGGATCCGTGTGGGCGCCGGTTCCACCTCGAGTTTCTCTCAAAGATAAAGGTCCAGCGTGTTCTGGGATACCAAACACATGGTCGTATCCAGGGAACGTGATATCGAGTGAGACACTCTCGGGTCCTTTGGGCTTTGAATCAGTGGATCCTCCGTAACTCTCATCCCACCAAGTGCTTTCATCTTCACCAGATGTGACTTCATGAGTTGGGGTCTCATCCTCGCCTTCCTTCTTTTCCGGCTGTGACTTTTCAATCTTTGGTCTCCAGTGCTCCATGTTCAACAAACCACGATCATTAAATTTGATCTGAGTGGCATGATCCCTCTTGAAGTCAATGCCGAAAGGAGCAAACGTAATGACAGCTTCAAACTTGCCCTCGGGACCATAGGTCACAGTGGTCTTTTCACCCTCTCTAGACTCGACAGCATTCTTGCTTAATTCCAGACCTCCAATAATAGTCCAGTCCTCAACCTCATTATAACGTTCCTTTCGGGCAATACTGTTGTGTCGAAGCTCGATGTCGCCCTTCTGGCGCTTCTCCTCATCAATCGTCACCCTCGCAGATCCAGACTCGAGGAATGAAATGGTGATTGGTAACCGGACCGTCTCACCATTGTGATTGATAGTTTTGAGAATTGTGCCCTTTAATTGTCCATTCTTCCAGCTCAAGGAATCGGAGGTGAGGGCATAGGGAGCTTTCCATGAAGATGTAGCTGCAGCTGTGTCGGCATATGCTCGATTTCGTTTGCAGAATCCAGCTTGATCACAAGTCTTGAAGTTTTCATATTTAACAGATACTAGAAAGAGGGGGTTTTAGTACGTCGTTGTGTTTGAGTTCCTCTGTTGAGTATGCTTGTGCTTGCTTACCTGCTGGTGTAAATAGAGTACATAGTGTTGATACAAGGACAAATAATGCCGTCCATTGGGAGGACGGCGTCGAAGAAACGCGCATAGCTGAAATGGGCAGTTGTCTAGAAGTTTTGGTGTGGACAGAAAGGTGTCGACTGTCCAGCAATTGCTGTTGAGAAGAGTGAGGTGCTCCTAGCTGTTGTCTTGTCTGTCTTGTCCTTCCTTTGAAACACCCCTGTCCCTGTCGCTCAGCACCCGGCTTGGCACGTGCCTGAGAAGTGAGGCAAAGATGTTTGGTTTGACTTCAAAAGTCGAGGTCCACTAAAATACGCCCCGCCAGCCCACCAAAATCACCCCTCTATTCCAAAATTCCGATTTCTTCTCGATGAGCGATCAACAACCACCACGTAAAGATCCTCCCATTTTCAAACACTTGAGCCCCAAGACTCAAGGTTTCCTACGAGCCTCCGCACCCCAAAGAGACGAACACGCAAGACTCAACGACAACACCATGTCTACCGAACAGACGTGAGTTGATCCTCTTGACTAGGGCAAGGCGGTGTAAAGTAGCTAACATTATTCTCAGCTTCATTGCTATCAAGCCTGATGGCGTCCAGGTATGGAACATTTGATCAATAGCATTGATCGTAGACTAATTTATTGTTCAGCGTGGACTCGTTGGCCCCATTATCACCCGATTTGAGGCTCGTGGGTACGTTTGTTGAAAGCATTGATCGAAACTGTCTAAACATCTGCAGATACAAGCTCGCTGCTATCAAGCTCATGACCGCCAGCAAAGAGCACCTCGAGCAGCACTGTTAGTACTCTAAACGCTGGACTGTTAGGAACACTGCTGATCTGGCTACCAGACGAGGATCTCTCCACCAAGCCATTCTTCCCAGGACTCATCAAGTGTAAAACCCCAATTCCTTCTCTAACTACATACACATCTAACGTATAACAGACATGGGTTCCGGACCAATCTGCGCTATGGTTTGGGAAGGTCGTGATGCTGTCAAGACCGGCCGAAGTAAGTTTCCCCGCTTTCACCAATCTCATCCCTCTAACAACCTTCTCTCCAGCTCTCCTCGGTGCCACCAACCCTCTCGCCTCTGCGCCAGGTACCATCCGTGGTGACTACGCCATCGATGTCGGCCGCAACGTCTGCCACGGCTCCGACAGCGTCGAGAACGCCAAGAAGGAAATCGCTCTTTGGTTCAAGGAGGGAGAGGTCCAGTCATGGAAGTCTGCTCAGCACGACTGGGTCTACGAGAAGTAGATGTGCCTCGGTATGCAATAAACGTACATACTGTCGAATGCTGGACGCTTTGGTAGAAGATGTTGGCAGATGTGGTGGTTACATACAGAAGTTGCAGTCATGAATATGAATGAACGATTCTGCAGATACCATGCGTGTGCTGAAGTTGGACCTCTATTCCTTCAATGCCCGGCTGATTATAACTTCCCATTCCCCTTCCCAATTACTCCCCCACCCGTAGCCCTCGTCCCAGCAGCACCACTCCTCTTCACAACCCCTATTGCCCCCTTTCCCCTCCCAAACAGCCCCCCAAACCTTCCCATGACAACCCTCGCAAACCAAGGCGTAGCCCAAACACTAAACACAATGCGGACCGGCAACAGCACCTTCGTAATCGCATAGGCAGTCGCAACCTCGATCAATATCCTCATCCCCTGCCCTCCCCGTTCTCCTTCTCCCCTCACCCCAGTCCCCTCAACCCCACCATCAAGCTTCTCCATCCCCTCCATCCCCTCTGTACCATCAAAACCAAACCACCCCTTCCTCCCAAAATACCTCCCAAACTTCACAACCCCCTCCCTAACCCACGCCCCCTCCCGCTCACCCAAAAACCCCCCAGCAGGCACCCACCCCGCCCAATGAAACATCCCCGCCAGCCCGACCAGCGGCACTACAGCAGTTATCTCGTGCAGGATTAGGAAGGATAGGATGTGCGAGAGGGGCGCGGAGCGCAGGCGTTGTGTGTATGGGTGTAGAGGCTTAGGGAGACGGTCGAGGAGCTTGGTGAGGCGCTGGGTTGTGGTTGATGTGGAGGATGTGGAGTGGCGGTGGTTGAGAGGGCGGAGGCGGGAGAGGCGGGAGAGGATTATGGATGGGCGTTTCATCTTGGGCTGTGAGGTGGATGGGGAGGTGTTTGGAAGGGGGGGAGAAGGAAAGCAACTGGAAGAGGTGACGCGTTGAAGCTATTTACGCGAAGTGAAGTGAGATGAAATCCGGTTAAACTTCAAAATTTTTACTCTCTCCATTTTGGTTTCGTTCGTATCACACATGCTCGCGTGTCTATACATTACGTTTGTTCTGGTTCTGTCTCGATGTCTAGAATCGACTGAACTATAGGTAGGTAGGTATATTCCGAAGGGTGTACGGTACTCGAGTAGTATATGACCCAGGGGTATCACCGCAGTATTTCACCTCGAAATATCTCCTGCCACTAGCCTTTCATTACAGACGCATCAGGTGTTTTAAGTTAGTTTCCTTGCTCAAGGCATTGATGATCGTTCCAGGCGCACCATAGGCTATTACAATTGGTGTATTGCCATCCGTTCTCAAAAGACGCTACTCCCTCTGCTACAGATGTCCTCGATACGAGATGATGTTTGATCGAAAAGTTCTATTTGCCAGAATGCTTCTGGTATGAGGGTTCTTTGTATAAATTATATGCCTAAATACTATATACAAGAAAGAAAATGAAACTTTGTTCATGATCAGCAGCTAGAACTACAAGCCCCCGACGGACAATATCCACGACTACATGCGAAGCTACACAGCTCAGTATAACTCCCATCTTCACCCTGCAAAGCACAACCCATTGTCCCGGTCTGAGGCGGCGGAACCGGCGTACCATTGCTCGTGCAGGTACAGACTCCCGTTGGGCAGTATCCATAGCCGCAGGAGAAGCTGCAGAGCCCGCTAAGATTGTCTGACATGCCCAGAGCAACAGTGCCGGCAACGCAGGTGCCAATTGTTGGGCTTGAGCTGCCGGATGCCGTTGTTTTGGTTGGTGTTGCGGATGTGGATGTGGATTGGCTGGCAGAGCCTGGTGATCTTGTGCTACTTGGTTTTGTAGAAGATGCGGCTGCTGTCCCGGCCGTGGTAGATGGTGTTGAATTACTGACCGCTCCCGTCTGAGATGCCGGTGCTGGTGCTGTACCCAGACTCGGTGCGGCTGAGCATGTCGATACATGGAGGCCTACAGTCAAAGATGCCAGTCCATCGACACCGAGTGGATCGGAGAGGCCAGTTCTGAAGTCACAGCGGAGTCAGTAACATTCTAATTCAAGGGGACGCAGAGTAAGGAGTCAAGCTGACTTCTTCAAGCTGTCTCCGTGAATGAGATAGACCTGTCTTGGAAACAAAGAACAGAGTATTGACAGAATTCAGGTATACTCACGGAAGTGTGCCAACATATGCATTGAAGTTGTATATGCCGCAAATACAAGTCGACGAGATATCCTTGAGCGAATCTCCACTGAGGACTGTTGTCGAGTCGCGAGTGAGCGAAAACTGTTGTTTTCCCACTGACATGGGAACTTGATAAGCAGAAGCACCCTTTGGGGCGTTAAAAGTTTTCGCGTTGCCACCAGAAGTTACCGTCACGGTTCCAGGGGCAGTAAGCATGGCAACAACGAAGACAGTATCTTCCATATCTTCATAGCCATCAGGTCTACCCTGGAAATAGTTCCCACTCGCATTGTTTGCTGTTACCATTGTCGTATCGGTCGCATCGCAGTCAAGTGAACGCAACGTAGGCCGATACCAATATACGAGCTCGTCATTAGTGATATAGTCATCCACTGTTTTTGACCCAGCGTGGTAGGCGGCAATGAAGGGCTTAGCCATATCTAGCCAGCCGTCGTGCGGCCTGAATATATTCTCATTAGTATTTTATTTACCATGACTTCTGGGGTGACATACATATCATTGGTCCACTTGGAGTTGCCGTCATCGTAATGCTTGGAAGACAATGGGCCAATGTAATGAGACTCTCCAAAATCGTTCCATGTGATGATCTCTAAGAACTGTGGACCCATTGCCAAAATGTCGTTCCAGCGACGAAACCACAAAAGATCAGACGGGAAAACCCAATTCTTGCTGTACGAGACTTCCTATAGAAATGTCAGCAGAATTTTATGGTAGACAATCTTTCGTTATCATGGCAGGCTTTACTTACAGGGCCAAAGTGCGTGCTGAACCAAGCAGACACAGCTATAGAAAATTAGCACGTATTACTATATGTACCAGGCTATTCTTACGCGCGATATAAGGCTTTCCACCCAACCATGTCTGGTAAGTTGCATCCCCGTCCTCAACAGTAATATTTGCTCCAGGTTTCGGGGCTTTGTTGTTCCCATCGTTATCCCAAGCCTGTAGTCCGTTAACCACCCGCCAGTCAAGGGTTAGCAAGAACACTTACAATCCAATTGAGAGCACCATCTACCAAACTGGCATCAGATTGACCGGGATGGAAGTTTGGAGCCCAGAAGACGTCAACTCCAGCCGAGGACCTCATTGTCGCCACATCAAGTCCATCACCAGAAAAGGAAGATGCAAAGACTTTGTTATCAACTTTAAGCTGGGCGGATTGTGATGCGTATTTAGCAATCATCTGTCCGACTGCCGAGGCGCCAGAACTAGGACTGTACCAGTTGAAATCGAACGAGATGAAGGCCTTCATATCATTATCAGCTGCCGATTGGTACGCGTATCCGAGTTGCGTGTCCGTGTAAGCATCCACGCCGATATTCAGCGCGAATGCGTCGATACCAAGTGCCTTTGCTCTCTGCATGTCTGAATCATAATCCGCAGCGCTGGTGCGGTCATCTACGATTCCAATCTGTTTTATTTGTAAGTTATGTATATAGCAGAAAACAAATCCCTGCTGAGGGGCTACGGAATGACTGACCATGAAATGACAAAACACCATTTTGCTGATCGATTGCCTCTCTTCCAGCTGTACATCGCTGGTAGGCGCTCCCAAAATAGACGGGGCTGCGAAGAGCCATATCGCAGTGACCCAACAGAAGAGGTTTGAAATGCCGACCATGATGTTGACTTCTTTCGGAATGCTCCGGCTTTCTAACCCTCTTTCCCATCGTGGAGAAAATCCATATATATATGGGCTGAAATTAAGAGGTTCATTGATCGTTCCTTCGCTTTGCGTTACGAGTCGTTATCCTGTGCTTGGTAGTTCGTACTGTAAATAACCTTTGCCCCCCCACACGCCCCTTCTTGCAGGTGAAACATTTTTTTGATTGGTTCTGGTGCTGTTTCAGTGTGTTAAATTTACAATTTATGGAGTAGCGGGAGCGGGTGTGTGTAAGCGCCAGGAGTTGGCCCGGCACTACCCCACCAGCCCCCCGAAGGAAGTTTATCGTTGGATCGGGTCATGTACACCCACGATGCGGGCTGATTAGATGGGATCTCATGGATTTGTAAATAATTGACTACACCTAACTCCAGAATATCCCCCTGCATTGATCTTGAACGCGGGATTTACTTCGTAAGTTTTCATAACGGACTAACTCCACCCCGCATCTCAAAGGATCATTACACAATGATCCTCGCAGATCCTTGCCCACTTATTCAAAACAATCCTAAAGTAGAATCCTGCTGGCTGACTCGTAATTGCGCAGGATTGCAGATACGACAACGGGCCGAATATATCTTCATAAGTATTATCACGTACAGGATACTGGAATAATCAAATCAGGTTTTTACGTCCTCACGAAAGCTTTGGTTCAGTTCAATTCGGGAAGAGACAGTCACCTCACGGCTAATATTTTTTCACTGGAATAGGCATGTATATAAGACCATGCTTTCATTAATAAGTACCTTAGGTAGGTAGCTACGATAAAGGATGATGAATGATTAGTCTCAGCAGGGGAACTCTCTATATGGCATTAAATCAATCCCTACCATCCTCACCGTCTCCCCATATCTGCTTAGTGCTCACTCTGCAAGGGTGAAGTCTGTCGAGATAGATACGCTCTTCCACTCCTCCAACGAACTCTTCTGCGAATCCAATATACCCTCAACCTGCGCCACAGCATCAGCTCCTTACACCAATCTCGCAGGCAGTTCCTTTGCCTCAAAGGCCCCCTTACCCATCAAAGCCTCCACAATGACTTTGGCAGCCTTCTCCGGATCACCAGGCTGTCTCCCATTAGAGGTAGCTATAAGATTCTTCAGTGGCTTCATAGACGATCTGTACTCCTCCATGCCCTCCTCAGGAAACAACTTCTTATTCGCCCCAAAGACTTTGACCTCAATGACAGTCACATTAATGCCAAACTCCTTCACTTCTTCTCTTAGACAGTGAACGAGGCCCGCGATAGCCCATTTCGTAGTCGTGTACGTGGATGCGCATCCCAAACCATACCAGCCGAGCATTGAGCCATTGAAGCCGATCGTGCCGTGTTTCTGAGCACGCATGTAGGGGAGGATGGCGCGAGTGACGGAGATGTGTCCCCAGAAGTTGACATCAAACATTGCTCGTGCTTCCTTGCTACTACAATGACATATCAGACACCTGGCTTTCAACTTCGAACTTCGAACTTCCAAGTTCGAGTCTTGGGGTGGTGGATGTTAATTACCTGACTCCCTCAAGTGAACCAATCATGTTCGCACCAGTGAGCGAGAGCTGCAAGTGCGGTCTCGTGGCCAAAGCCAGTAAAGCAGCCGGTAATGAACTAGATAGCCATGATAGTTGTGAGTGTATGAAGCAAATAGTAGTCGTGCGGTGCTTGTGGGTAATTTAAGTTCTGGGCAATATTGGTTCTGGGTAAGTGGTAGGTGAAGTGCTATATTGAGACGACGGAGAAGTCATTTATGAATGTTCTCAGCAAAAATTACAACCTTCATCAAGCTGTCTACTTTGGAGGGAAGTTGAGAGGATAATCTTTTGGTGACTAAAGTCCCGATCTATCGCTCCTATGTTTGCTGAGCTGCACCATTCACAATTGACACTCACTATTCGACGAAAGGATGACATCACTTATGGATATCAAACAGATAATGTGCACTACTGTGAATAGTTCTATATAAGTAGGACTTTCATTTCGAAACACGAATGCTAACTTCGTCTCACCCTTCTGTTGTTTCTAGTCGCCCCCCTATATCCCTTTTTAGTTGTAAGCGAGTGCTTACTCAGCAATCCAAAATCATACTACAACTCTGGCTCTAATCATTGCATCCTGTGACAAATTTACTCCAATTGTGGGGCGAAGGCCAGGCTTTCTGGTATGGAACATGGAGCTCCAAGTCAAGTACAACGAAAAGTGAATGTCACACCAAAAGGTGAATTTCTTAAGCATAGCCCTGCCGCATGGCTGTCTATCTCATGGATATATATTCAGGCCGCGATTAGCTTTCGTCTGAACCGCATATTACTTATAAAGACTTCCGATATTGTGATAGAGTTTAATGTGTTGTGATTATTGCAATAAGGTAATGGGCTTTGAAAGATGTACCACAATTCCAAAGCTTCTATGGCCTACTTTAAAGAATAATGAGGCAGGACAGGCACAAACTGACTACTTATATTTGGACGCTTGACCGGCGAGAATATCGAGTTTATTATATCTCTTCAGCTACAATTTTTACACCATAGCAAGGTAGCAACTTTAGCTCGAGAAACTGCACGATGAAGTGTGCTAAGAGAAAGACCAAGCATGAAAGCTCTTTCCTTGCAAAGCTGACTGCTTGTGACATGTCCGCTGAACTATTTCAGTTCACCCAGCCATGTTATCTACTCTACCTCTTCGCCAGAATTTAACTGCTTGTTTCTCCGTCGGGCGCTAGACTGTTTAGCCTTTTCTCTGCATGAATTACAAGTTCTAAACGGCTTCTTTGTCTTCGGATCGATATCAATTTCCTACAATAATTTAGTATGAAGACCTCAGTAAGAAATCAAACTAGAAGAGGCAAAAATCAACGGTAGATCCAACATAGGCCTAGAAAAGGTGGCAAAGGAAAGAAAGTTTGCTTACACTCGCTGGTATCAGTTTCGTTGGGTGTCGGTAACAAGTAATCCTTTCTTCACTTAACTCTTCGCTTGCCTCGGAAGATGAATCAGATTGTAAAGTGAGTGAGTCAGTACTTAATGTCGAAGCTTGTTTGATTCGAGGAGAAGAATCGTGTGGTGGGGATACTGCTGGGTCTGATGCTCCACCAAGCATCGAAGTAGAAGCAAGAGGACTCATGGATGACTTCTCTGAAAATGGGTCTCCAATTGGTATACCCTCTTTTGTTACCAAGACACATTGGGAATCAAACGTGCTTGACCCTGTACCGCTGACAGGGGTGGGGTTTTGTTGGGAAGGACGTGGAGACGGTGATGGTGTTTCTTTTGTCGATGGTATTCCAATTTTGGGAGGGAGTATGCTTTGCATTTCATCATTAACCACATGAGCATGACGTTTGACTTTCGAGGGAGGTGTAATTGGTAATGGCTTTCTTTTTTTGGGTGCCATGCCAGCTTGTAGAGGGAGGATGCTTAGTCCAGCATCTCGGCTGTGAGGTACTAACTGTGCCGATGGCTTCTTGGTGCGCGGAGTGAGTGAATATTGTTCTGTACGTTCTGCAGGCGACATTAAAGTTAGACCGGATCTATGGGAAGATGGGCGTGGTGTTTGTGTAGTTTTTGGTTCACCAGCTGTGGCGCGGCCCTGGATTTGGAGATCTGAGTACAGACTGGTGGCTTCTTTGGCAGCGTCTTCGACGATTGTTAACATTGCTGCTTCGAAGTCCGCAGGCGCATTTCCGATAGCGACTTCCAATTCCGAAGAATTAAGTCTATTCAATCTGTCCAACCTTTCCTGAATATAAGCCATGCGGACAGGGCGGGGACCCAGAAGCGGATGGCTGGGAGTGGAGGGTTTCTGGGTGAGATGGTCGAGTGCCGCTTGTAATGCTGGTGGAAAACTCAGGGTTTGAGGTATTTTCATAATGCGATCGAACACGGCATTCATGCGTTGTTGAAATGCTGGAGTCGGACCTCTATTTAAGAAGTGATCTGAAGCAAGTTCCGGCCGTGGTAAGCTTGAGTTCCAGGTGAATCGATGGATTTCGAGGGGATCATATTCTGTAGGGAAGGTATTGGGATCTTGTCGGAGGGTATGATTCGAGGACATCGAGAGTATATTTACGGCCATATTTTCATCTTCAGAGGCTTGGAAATAATCTTGTGCGTTAGGATCTTTCCGGATTGGATGATACGGGGAGGTCGAGAGTATACCATTGGCCATAACCTCGTCTTCGGAGGCTTGAAGATAATTTTGTGCGTTGGAATTCCCCATATCAGGCTCCTTCGGGTAGTCGTTCATGTAGATATCGTAGTCGTCGTCAGGGAAGAGAGGTGGGGGAGGAGGTTCATCAGCCGTCAGCTTGGGCAACTTCTGCCAACGCAGCATATAGACTGTGTATATGGTATCGAGGTGTTTTTTGCAGGACAGTTCCAGTCCTCCTGGCTGTCTGACCAAGCATGACTTCTTCATGTTAAACGCCTGCTGAGTTCCAACAACCTCCAGCATGCATTCCTCCGGAATCAGAACCATCTCTGGGCCGCGTCGTACACTGTTTTGAAATGCATAGAAGCTTGTCCCTTTCAACTTCTTTGACCCCCGAGAGTGATTGCTGACGACGGCAAATATGTGGATGTATGAGGGCCATGGCACCTGCTGTGAACTCTCCAGCCGTCGTTGCGGGGCTTTGCCACCACCCTGATCTTTGAATTGATCGAGGATATCCTGTGTCTCATCATCGTTGTCGACCTTTCTTTTGTATTGTCGGACCTCGCTGCAGCACATGATCTTCGAAGAGCTGTGTTTTGAAGAAGATGGCGAGTCTTCACCAATATTGGAGGTATCCGGGCTCGTGGTAGGATTGGGAGACATGTTTGCTTGGGGTTGAAAAGATACCATGTGCCATGAAGTTGGTAGTGGTAGATGTGTTGTGACGATTGTTTTGCAAAAGAATGTTGTGTTGTTGCAGAGGTAGAAGGACTAGAAGGTGAATCGGTAGTGGTAGACAATTCTCGATCGGGAAGGAGTAGGAGAGGAGAGGGTTCAAGCGACTCGTATAGGTAAAGAATAGCCCGCTCAACAAAGTCAATGTACGTACGAGGTTATCCTGGAAAGTCAAGTATCTTCTAGCATGGCAATGTGAGAGATTTTCTAAGACCATTGGACGATCAAAATCTAGGAACGAGCTCTTGGGAGTGGGTGTGATATGGTGGTGCATAGAGAGACTTCCAGATCAGTTGAGATGTACCTGCCCACATAACTATCATCTAAGCTAAGCGCCCGAAAACTTAAAGGTACCATAATGAGCCCCAGAGACTGTTATTGAGTTAGGTGTCTCCATTTATCAGTATTAAGAGATAGACCTGACGTTCGAAAGTAAGTGGCGAAGTAAAGGATCATGATGCTTCACTACCTCTGGAGGCAACAAAGTAGCTGTGAGCTGCTAACGAAGACAAGCTTGCTTGAACTTTGAAAGAATGATGACTTTGGAAGTTTCTAGAGAAGACAGCCCAATCAACGATGGCTCGATTTGCGTTGTTGGAGATACAGAGAGTATGCTCGCTTGGATATAAGAATGAAATATTGAATGAGAAGACTTCATTATTATTGAGGAAACCCCCGACGCGCTCGGCACTCCAACCTTTCTATTGCATTTGATTTAGAGATACTTATATCTGAAACCTCCAATAGGTTCTGGAACGCGCTACTCTGTGATTTACTGAAAAGAATTCTCAACTAGATTATTCTCCTCATCAGGCATTGCCCTTTCATGCGTATCTGCTTGAAAAGGAGTTTCAGGAAAATGTATCGAATAACTTCACAAAGGTTTCCCGCAACATCAAAGAAATAACGAGATTGCATTTATACATGATACTTAACAGCCTCGTCATTGAAATAATGTTGCATCTCCGTTCCTGCCTTTTCATACCCACACTTAACATAAAATCCTTCATTCTTTGCAGAGCAGTCAAGGATAGTCTTTGGTGGAAAACATATTATTAGCACTTCTTCATCAAAAATGGGCAAGACCTACCTTGTAGCACCCAACATCTTTGGCAATGGAGTCCAAGGCGTTGAGCATTTTGATACCTAGCCCCTTGCCCTGCTGATCGGCTTTGATACCAATGTCTTCGATATGTCCTTGAATTCCCAATTTGAATAAACTTTCCATTTAAATCATCTCATCAGCCTCTCTTCCAAATTCCTTGCAATTCTCTTCACTATTACCGAGAAGGAGAAAATACTCACAACTTCCTCTCCACAACCAGCGTCCCCGTCCCTATAATCCTCTTCTCCTCATATTCATTATCCCCAGCCTCCACAATAACAAGCACAAAATAAGTACCCCCACACTTCGCTAAGTAATCGAAGCGCTCAGTCCACTCCGCCTCACTTATATCGCCGATATGCGCTAAATCCGCAAGGACGTCGAGATGGCCGAGTTTGTAGTCCGAGCGCCGTAAAGAGCGGAACGTATAGCCTTTGGGAAGGAGGGACTGGATTGATGGGGTGATTAGGGAGGATGGGATGAGGGCTTCGGTGTAGTGGAGAGACATGTTTAATATTGGGTGGTTGTGGAGGTGAGAGAGCATGAGATGAAGTTGTGGAATGATCATGTGGGGTTCTATCCTCCCCCCCACTTCCGAAATCTAGGGGTCAGGTTTGGCCTAGGCATAGCACTACCTTAAGACTTCAGGACGACATTAGATTCCAAGGGATCGTTTTTTTTTTTTATATAATTGACCCACAAGTCTTTAAATATAGTACCTCGGCTTCTACAGAGAATAATAATAACTACTACTATGGAGTATCATTCTGCCCACCTGATTACCTACGCTGCTGTTTTTGCAATGAATCCATGGAAACTCTCGATGAAGCGCATCATCTGAGTCTCTGCATCATTATCTCTGTACTTCATAGACTTACACTGGTGTCTCAAAGATCCAGTGTTTTCAACACATGCTATTCCCTACGAAAATACCAGATTGTTGACGTTTTTATAGACCGAATAGAAGTATCACGGACGTACCGAGCAGATTACAGCAGCTGCTGGGTGGGTACAGCCCGTTGGATATTTACCGGACCGGTACTGTATATAGACCTAGCGTTGTACCACAGCCATAGCGGCCCTCCGTAACGGCTCTTGACTTCACGCAACAACCCGAAATGCTACGGCGATGGCTTTAACTACCCAAGCGGGCATACTATCAACGTCAAATACCACAGGACGCGATGTTTATGTTATTTACTCTCTTTCTATCTGCTCCTCTGCATGCATCTTTCAAGTCTGTTGCAGTGTCTCGGGAGTATGGAATGGACGTTACGACTGTTAAATTGTGTCCTACAGTCATGGCAGTCTCTCGAAGATCATTCAGTATCCATGGTTTATATATAAGCGCTGCCGATTCACTTTTTCTCTCTTGTTTGTAATTTTGCTTCCTTCATTTACATTTGCATTATCCGAATCCCATCATGTTCACAGCATCAACAAGTGGGCTTGCATCAAGCATCGTAGTTATCATATTGCTCTCTTCCATCTTGAGACTAACGTTCGCACAAAAAGACAACGGCAATGAATGTTCTTGTTTCCAAACAAATGGCTCATCAGCTGGCTACTTCACTTTTCACCGTTTCCTCGACTACAGAAACATCCCATCAATATCCCCAGAAGTCCCAGCGCTAATCCCCAATATCACAAACGCAACAAATGCCATCGCTACATCAGATTTCTTCACCAACGAAGCTTGGAGGAACGATTGGGCTATCCAGAACTGGAACAACAGTGATGATGTTGCTTCGGGCGACTCACCAACACTGCGAGTAAACTCCGCAAACAACGTTTACATTGGTACATCACCCTCTTTTCCCCTCCCCTGAATCGCTAACAAACCCCCCATAGAGAAAAGCAATGACACCGACCCCTCCTACGCAACCTTCCTCACCCTCCGCACCGCTCGCCTCCCCACCTTCCAATCAACCGGCGAAATCGACTCCGTGGAAAAGAACTACCGGTATCTATCTGCACGTTTCCGTGCACGCGTAATCGGTTCTCCAGGCGCCTGTGCAGGTATATTCACATACCGACACACCACGCCCTCGCCCTCAAGCGTCCAAGAAGCCGACATCGAAATCCTAACCCGCGGCGCCCGCAACGCAGTCCAATACACAAACCAGCCTTCGCAAGACGCACAGACCGGCGATGATGTCCCGGAAGCGACGCGCAATGTGACTATTCCGCAGGGACGGGATTGGACGGCGTGGAATACGTATCGCGTGGATTGGATGCCGGGGATGACGAGTTGGTATGTGAATGGGGTAAGCGTGGCGGATATTGGGTTTCAGACGCCCAAGGATCCGGCGGGGTTGTGTGTCAATATCTGGAGTGATGGAGGGGTGTGGACGGGGAATATGAGTACGTATGATGAGGCATTCTTGCAGATTCAGTGGGTTGAGGTGGTCTTCAATACTAGTGGGCCTTATGTTGGGCCGACGGATAAGAGGGGGATGGTGAAGAGAAAAGGGGAGAAGGAAAAGGGGTGTAAAGTTGTTTGTGGAATTGATGAGAAGGTCAATATTACGGGGACGCCGGCGGTGTTGTCGAGCAGAGCAGGCGCGGCTCGAAATGGTAATGGAAGTCTGGTCTTGGTTCCTCTATTGTTGGTTATTGGTCTGGTATTTGGATATTTCTAGGATCAGAATCGGCATACACCGTAGCCCTCAGGTGTTTGATGGTTCAAAACTACATGCATGGCGTTCCTATGGATGCTGGGGGAGGTAAAGCGACCATTAGTTGAATGTCAAAAACATGCAGGATCACTTCGTAGATCTTTTCACACTCAAGAAACAAACTGCATTTCACACCAGGTATGTCAACGCATCTCACACTAAAAAGATCTATATTCGGGATTCATCCCTTCCACCCTTCGGAAAACATTTATAAGTAGTTAGTCAGAATGCAGCTCATTTAGGACCGGATTTCTATACTCCACGAGCTCTTCGCCTAGCGCTCTACTACTTCAGTTACCGAGTGCTTGTAGTAAAAGGTTCAGCTTTATATCTTCTCGAATTTATCTTGGCACACCCTGGGGCACAGAAGTAAAGGGTAATATTTGGATATGTGTTATGATGAGGAATGGAATGAAATGAGACGTAAGAACCTCTCTTTCGATATATGCTTGTCTGCCTCCATCTCTTCCCATGAATATGCTAACACCAGCCCTACTTCATACACACCACATACCTTTTCCTATCTCCTCTCTCCTCTCTCCTCCCGTTACTGCAACATCTTCACTTAAACAACCCCCACCTAAAAAGCTACTCAATACTGTGAAAGTAGAATGAACGAACAAGCTGTCGATTTAACGTTAGTAATGAGATTAAGATTACCGAGGTCATGAGAATGAATCACGAGACCCCCCTCCCCCCTTGTTTTACACGTGATGCCTTAACTCTTTTTGGACCTCATAGATGTCGTTACGCAGGCAGTCCATCTCGTGCAAACACCATCAGATATAATGTGCAAAGCAGTAAAATTCTGGTATTATTTAGTATCCGTTTGTGCTATAATATACAAAATAGAACAAGCAGCGCATGTGAGAAGTTCTTTTGTCAAGACAGACCACCTCCCAAAGACAAAAAATAAAGAACTCCATCACATCCATGCAATTACCTTTTTTCAAGTCCGATCCGTTCCCGTCCGTCCATGCAGCCTTTTCCCGTATCCAAGCCTGTTTGATATGCAGTTGAGATGAGTCTTGTTTTTAATCCCTCGTATGTACCTTTCCTTTCCTTCTCTTTCTGATGCCAAACCATGCCATATCACTTAAGCATCGCTTTTCTCAAGCAAAGGCAATAGCGCCTGTAGCGCCCTCACACTCCCTTCACCGCTCAGCACTACCGCCCCGGCTCGCGCCGTACTTAGATAACTCAGTTCCGGCAGCTCGACTGTAGTCCCACGCATCTCGTCGACTAGCTTGCCAGCCACACCACAGACGATGCCTGTGCTTTCGAGCGGGAGGTCGACGAGGTCGAGGAATATGGGGACTAAGTCCCCATCTGTGTCGCCTGCTATTGAGTTTCCAAATAGCCAGAGTAGACTCTTGTCGACGAGGAGAGAGGGAGCATCGTCTTGTGCTAGTGTTACAGAGAGGAAGCGCGGTTGTTGGACTAGAGCGGACACAAGACCCATGTATAGTTTTGGATCTATGTTATCCAACCAGCTGTGTGTGGCTCCGTTGCCGTTCCGGGACGGATATTCGTCTTCATGCAATATTTCCTTGCCTGAGCATTGTACGAGATGGAGCCCTGGCTCCACGAACGGAACTACGTGTTTTTTCTTCAGTCGGGAAAATGTACGTATTTGTAGTTCCGCGACGTTGGTAGGTGGAGGCGTAGAGGGTGGTTCGGAAGATGTACTTGGCATACGAGCGTGCGAGACATTCGTTGGCGCCACATATGCGGAGTCATTTTCAGAGAACTCGAATCCGCGTTCCAGTAACGCCTTTCCAACAGTTTGACGGTCTTTGCTTGGTACGAGGATGAAGTCCGTGTAGTAGGTGGTGATGAAGAAGATGGGGATGCCGGCCATGGCTAGGGGTGATGTGAGGTCCATGACTCGTTGTCCGGCCTCCATACCAGCACTGCTGACGGAGAAGACAATGTAGTTTTCTTTGGAGATTTGAACTTGCTTTGAGGATTCCTTTGGCAAGCGTTTTATGACGGGCTCAAAGACGTTATGGGCCCATGATGTATGGCAGACTATAGAGCATTCGATTGGCGTTACGCTGATATTGAGAAAGCCATGCTTATTGTCGACCGAGAGACCTTCGAGGAGGCCTTCTGGCTCATGATTTTGTGTTGGTCCTCCGTGGGGGAGAAGGACTCGTAATATCGGTTGAAGGAGGGCTGGATATAAAGGTAGAGGGATGTGGATGAGGCTGAATTGACCCTCCTGTTGGCCGTTAGTATCGTTCCAGAGAATCGGTTTAATGTTGATATCTTCAGGCATGGATGAATGGCCCCCATGTCTGAAGGACGTTGGCGGTATGAATGATCGACGCCGAACTTGAAGTTTGAAATATTTGGGCAGAGCCATAACCCATCATGAGGCTATCCAAGTAGAAGCAATGAGGCGGCGTACACTTATAGCCTTGGGTGGATGAGTGACCAGAATAATCCATGGGACTTGGATCTCACACTTGACTTGGGGTGATGGACTTGATATTATGAGACAAATCAAACATGACAACTTACAAGGAAGGAAATCTGAGCGTTCATAGTGATTCTTCTATATACCCAAATAGGCACTTTTCCGTACTAACGAGGCAAGGATGCTCATGCAGCCCGACCTCCAAGAAGCAGTGCCTTGCAGCCACCCGGTTCCCAACACCCAAAAATTAATAGCCCTGGGCCCTCTAACTGGCTCTTGCTGCTCTCTAAACACGAAAAGCTGCGTGGGCAAAGCCGTAATGGGAACAAGGCGCAGGCGTCGGCTTTGCAGCCTGTGACCATGAAACTAATAAAACGACTGGGAGTAACACGGATAACGCTCATCGGCGGGCGGCAGGCTTTGGTAAAGGTCTCGCAGATGAGAAGGTTCAGCTGATCCACAGGTCACTCTGTTGGAGCTAGGGCACTGCCGATGAGTCCCCCACGCCGATGGACGAAGGCGATTGTCTCAACCCAGCTTATTCCTTGGAAGTTCAGTGATGAGCGGGACTAGATAGCAAGGTGGGTTTATTTAGGGGAGAAGCGGGTGTCGGGTGAAGGTCCGTTTGGGTGTATGGGGGTTTGGTCTGATCCTGAGGAGGGTTGGGTTATGAGGAGCTTCTTATTCTTCGCGGCGGCAATCCAGGGACCCCTCTTCTTCTTGCTAGCTGTCTGTCTAGCCGGATGCTGCGCGTCGTGCGTAAAGAAGGGGCAAAACGCAAAATATAGATGAGCTTCTTGACGCCACAGAGCAACTGCAGTAGGTACCTAGGTCACCGCAGATGGTGAGAGGTTGGTTCAGCGTGGGGGGTCCCTAGTTGCAGTCGTGGTTTCCGTGCGATGGATGAGGCGGGGTAAAAGGGCTTGTGCAGGAGGGAGGCACGGCTGGCTGGTGTTGTATCGAACAGCTGCAGCAATGTCGAGGTACGGAGTACTTGGGGTGCTTGTATGAGGCTATTGATGAAGAAGCGACTGTGGTATAAGAAGATGATTGAAAAATCAATTAATGTGAAATTCCGGTGCGGCGGATGGAACCGATTAAGATGTTTGCACTACTGGTAAGACTACTACACTACTACACTACACTACCACCGAGATACCTAGGTCTAGGGTAGGTACAAGTACCTGCCAACCCTACACCATCAAGTTCGCGTAGGGCGGGTCTGGCCGAAGTCTAGGACTTAGTAAGTTAAGGGCAGATGGTCGTTTGAGAAGCTGGATGCCTTCAATCTTCATACCCTGATACATACAACGTATAGTGAGTGCGTGAAATCTTCGGAATGGCAGGATAAAGAGATTGGCGGCCCGATCCAAGGGTGGATTTGTGGATTTGTTGCTGTTGTTCTGCTCGCTTTGGGAAAGAATCCTCATGCAAAAAGTGGGATCGTGGGATTGTGTCCTGTATGTACGGAGCAGTGGGGAGGGAATTGACGATGTGGTTGTCGTTGTGCCGCTGTACTGTACGAGTATCACACTCTGGAGTGGGGTACTTTGATCGATACCTAAAGAATACCTATACCTAAGAAAGGAAGGATGATCTCATCTCTGCAAGATGACGGCACAGTCGTACTGTATAGCATGGGTATTAATACAGTACAGTACCATAGGAAATATCCATCCATGCTATTGCATCTCTGGAAGGCATACGCATCGGTGGGGTGGATGCAGATGCAGATGTCTGCAGATACGGATGAAGACCCGAGGTTATATTTGCGGCGCTTGTACCAGCAATCCAAGCTTAGTGATAGGCTCGAGATAGGGTAAGGTGAGGTAAGGTAAGGTCTCACCTTATCTGTAGCATTGGCCATCTGCTGGCCTATGCTTAATCTCGGGTCCTTATATCACATCGTATACTCCGTAGTGTAGTCCTCAATCCTTCACTTGGAACTTCTAGACTCAGCTTACCCATTGTTTTCATTTTAAACTAACAAAACCATTCAAGCGAGCCCTGTTAGAACGTTCCAGACAGTTGGGCTTTGAGAAGCTCTAAACGCTTTGGGATTTTCATTCTATAAACCTGTGTTTTTTGCTGCATATCGCAATCCTGAGACATTGAAAAGTCTTCAAGCCAAGATTTTGCTACAGTCTTTTCATAACCCAATCTCATGATTCTTCTCTATCCACTTTTATACGTATCTTACACAGCTATAGTTTGTCCTGAATATTGTCCTATTTCCCTGTTTATCGTTCAGTCAGCACTTATTGTTGGTGATTCTGCTTTCAAACTCGGGTATTTAAATTTTCATCCACAATATCCAAATTTTCAGTAATAATGAAGTCAACCGCGCCTGCCGCCACCCCGAATTTTTTTCTAATACCAAGGGCCTGGAACAGAATTCGGCGTACGCCGAATCTCAAGGTCTGCAAATATTTTCTGGGCCACGTCCGATGGCTAGTGGCAGTGGAGTCAGACGAAAGAGATGTAGGTAAGCTCTAGTGAGATATGCTACACCGCGATGTGCCAATGGAGTCAGGTTGAGATGGGAGAATGCTTCCAGAGACAACAAATTTGTCCTTTGCATTTTTGAAGTGGCGATTCTTCTAGGCGCGAAGAAGAAGAAGCCCCCGCTAGTCGTCAATACTGTGGGAGAACGGGCAGAAGGGTGATGCACGATGAAAGATTCAACAACAGAGATTGATGGTGGCGAACATAGTTTTCAATCCTAACCTGGAATGGTCTGAGGTCAAAGGAGATGACTAAATTGTGCCTGCTTCTGTTTCTGCAAATGCCTACCCAGTGGCGAGCTTGTGTGGGAAGGGCATCAACTCAACCCAAGGGAGAGATATCAATTCCGCTGAACAGCGAGACATGAGTTATTTCAAACTTCTGCAGGTATACACTATACTACTTCAGAAGTATTCCAAGAGACGCTAATGGCGTGAACTTGAGGTGCATTCAAGCATAGCGTCCTGCTCAACTGGCTGTAATGCCTACCTATATCTTGTATATATCCTTTGTACCAGTACATCCACCATCAATATCGCTACATGGTCATCCGTTTCACCAATTCCAACGCCATCATATATCATTTCAATTCATATCGACCTCTTTATCCCCAATCCTGTAACATTCCATGGCTCCAATTACTCGTCCCCAAAGCCCCGAATTTCGACCGTCATCTGGTAATACAAGATAACTCAACACCCCTTTTCTCGACGACATTATACTCCGCCCATGTCGTGCCACCACCTTCTTTCCACAACCCGAATTCAATCCAACTGAACCCACCACACCATGGCGGGATTCGAGATTGATTCCTTGACTCTCGACAACCCAGTATAGCAAGCATAGCACATCAGTATGACACCTTACACTTCCTTCCTAGTCTCCATCCGCCCATCTGCCACAGAGTCAGACCCTATTAGTCTTCTCCACGCAACGCATGCATCACTCCACTTCCACAGCAACGGGCCCTTCCCATCCAATTAGACATACAGCCAGTCGCGCACGGTACCGCTCTGCTGCAGCTGCACCGGCCCGCCCCCACGAACAACATACGTACATACATACATACAAGGAAAAAAAAAAACCCCATACAAGAATCCCAAGCCAGAACCACAAAACAGCATAGCACAGCATAATTTGAACCTGGTATATCACATTACATACATACATACAGTACCATAGAAGCAACTGGGAATACAAAAGTGGAGGATGCAAGCAGCGCAGCGGCAACACACATATGTGCATCCGGGTCTACTGCGTGCGTGCGTACGTGCGTGCGAGTACATATGTACATACCTAGTACGTTAGCTATACAGGCAGGAATATAATGTGCCTGTTTCTGCATCCATCGGACATCAGGATGAATATTTAACCTTCAAGTCAACCAATTCACAACATAAAATTCTCGTCTAGCTCTGGTTCGACACAGAATACAGTATGAGCGGGAAGTCGTCCGATAGGTAGACGATGTTGTGCATTTAGTGTGAAGTTAGGTTAAGTCGTGTAAAGCTACACTAGATCTGCTTTCAAGCGCTTTATTGACGTAGCAACCCCTCGTTTCATGGGACACGGACGGGTAGCTACGGATTCCCAAGGCGTTTTTGGGGTATTTGGTACAGTACGGACAAGGTTCTCCGCTTCTTTTGCAGTATGCAGCGTGGGGGTTACGATATTGGGCGAAGCAAGGCAAGTTTCTTTTGTACAGTATTTGCGCGTGCGTACTGTCTGTACCTTGGAATTTAGCCTATGTTGGAATATGTATGATACATTAATTGTACATTTATTGTTTTGCTATTAAACAAGTTTGGAAATCCAGCGGAATCAAGACCAGCCTCTGTTACCGCGATAATTTCCTCGTCCTCTGTAGCCACCACGGTTTTGGGTGTTGTTATTGTTGTTGTTGTTCCATCCGTTGTTGGGATTGGGGTAGCCTCGTCCTCCTTGTTGCCAGCCGGGACCCGACGGTGCACCGGGGAAGTTTCCAGGTTGTTGGAAGTTTGGTGGTGGGGGGCCTGGAGGGGGAGGAGGGATGGGCCAGTTTTGCTGATGTTGTGGCTGGTGGTACTGCATTGGAGGCGGGCCTGAAGGTGGTGGGGGAGGCGGCCACTGTCCATAAGGCGTGGGACCGGGACTATTGAAGGAAAGAGGTGGTGGAGGCGGGAAGTTTGGGTTGAAGCCTTGCTGTTGGTAAGGAGGCGGCATCGGCATTGGTGGCTTGAGCGGGAGGCCTTCTCGAGGGGTAGATTGAGGGCGCGGTTCTCGGGAATAGGAGTCTCGTGCGGGGCTGGAAGTGCGCGATTGAGACCGAGAGAGGGGACGCGAGTGGCCATTTCGGCGATGTTCTGGGGTCGGTGATCTTGAAGGGCTATAGGACCGTCGACGTTGACTTGGTCTGTAATCTTCACTCCCTGGGCCATCGGAGTCGCTGTACCGTCTCTTTCTTCCAGGACTCGAGCTTCGACTCCGACTCCTATCTCGACGCTCTGGTCCACCAAATCCCTTTTTCTTCTGTTTCATCCTCTCACAAAATCCTCGAGACCAGCCATAGTATCCTTCGCCATCTATAACATCCCCACTGATTTCATCCAATATGATTGACTGTCCAAGATCATCAATATCCAAATCTGCCTTCCTATCTTCCTGATTTTCCGTCCCGTATATAACCTGAACGTCGTCTAGCAGAGATTTTACCGCCCGTACCAACTCCTCGTTCGCAGGCCCAGCAATAAACTGCATGGGCTTGATCATATCCGGATTGATAGGTTTTGTAGACTTTGGTTCGATATGTTGTAGAAGGTTTCCAGCCGGCAAATCAAACCAAGGGGTCGATGTATCTCCGTGCATAGCTGGCATTACATATGGTGCAGACTTCGTGAGCTTCGTCGTAGAAGCATTGTCCCCATCTGACGTGCTGCCATTTCCCTGTGAATGTTCCCCCGCCTCTGAAGCATTCTTAACAGTTTCTCGAAGTTTATCCACATATTCCCTCGAATAGTAACCTTTCTCCTCCCATATTTCTAATAAATCGAAGAGCTTTTGTTGATGTTTTGGGCAATCTTTGAAAGATGCTGCGCTGCCAAACAAGTTCACCAATATCGGTTGCGCTTTGCTGCAAATCGACGCGTCGCTGACCCGATACCTCGTATGATAGAGTATATCATTGATCAGATACAACAGATGAAGTCGCTTCCTCTTGACCGACGGTTCGCGCTTTTCCGAATCCGTGAAAGATGTTGCCAAAGCCGTCACGTATTTTCCCAGTGCTGTGAACCTTGCCGAAGACTGAGTAATGTTTTCCAATATCCATTGCTTGCTTTTCTATTCTCATGGACCATTTAGCCATCGCGTTGACATAGCCTTTAGAGTGTATCTTCAAACCTGGACGTTTCTGGGGCTGCACTGCAAGACTGCTGAGTTAAGCAGGGCGTGAAAGTGCGCAATGTCTTCGCGTGACAAGGAGGTTGGGTCAGGCCGTAGAAGACCTGCGGAGAATGAGGCCTTTGCGATGGCGAGCTGATGAGACGCCATTTGATATGCGATATGGCAATGCGCCCTTTTGAATCGTGTTCGTGGAGTGAACGCAGCGATTGTTTTCAGGTAAGGACAAGCTTGATGCGAAGAGCTTCCTGCAAACGAAAAGATCTCAGCCTCGCGGTTCAATATCACATGACTAGGTCCAGGAAACAACTTATTCAACTCAGTCTACCGTGTTGTATGTTTATAAATATACTACAGTTGGTCATGGTTGTAATTATCTATGAGCAAAAAGGGATGAACATCCAGCTGTCTTTTTAAGGGTTCAGTTTGGTCTGGCAGATGACACAGCTCACTATATGATGCTTGGCTGTGGAGAATTATTTGCTACAGCACAGCAGGTACCTCTTCTCAGAAGAAACAAACCCGTCCCGCAAAGAAATGAACGCGTTAACGCGGGGGAGAGTATCAAATCTTAGAATGTTGTATTTCGTTAGGCTAAAGCCAAGCCCAGCCCTGACCAGCCTCACAAGTGAGAGACCAGAAGCATTGACACCTTACACGAACGCCATGAGAGTAGAGTTTCATAATGTACATGGCGAACCGATGAGGTGTTGCCTTCCCGCTAAAATAGGATTATGTCGCGGTCCATTCCTCAACTGAATCTATCTCCCTTCGTCGCCCTAAAAGGTTGCGATGTCTCGTACTTGCTCTTCTCCATTACCCTTTGCCCTTCACTCTCTGGGGCATGCCTTGTTGGTGCTGGATCTAAGGTTGTCTCTTGACTTGGTGATCCAGAGCTATCCGACCTCGGTGGTCCACCATTTGTAGACTTCGCCACCGATCCACCCGTTCCTGACGATGTCGTCGGTTTGCTTTGAGGTTTGCTGGAGTATTCGAGAGATTCCTGAACCTGTCTGCGACGTTGATCGGCTTCAAATCGAGCTGCGCGATCCGCGTTGATGGATTTCTTCGCAAAGTAATACGCCCCGCCACCAGCTGTGAACATCAATCAGTATACTCTTTGCCAGAGGGTATTTGCCTCAGCCATACCAACACACAGTGAGCCCCATCCAACCCTAGAATGGCCTTGTCAATTGAGTTCTCTTCATTTCTCTCTGCATCGCTGCACGCACCAGAATGATTTAAGCTTGGGAACGTTAGCCAAGGAGCTCAAGAATGATTGAGGAAAGAGGGTCTAACATTGTTCATATTGGAGAAGTCTTGCAGTGGTCACTAAGCGGTATGTATGTATGTATTGCCCACAATGATTGATCACGGCCAATTCGTAAACTTTAAAGAAGGCTGAAGGAATTGTTTACAGAACTTTTGAAGTATGTATGACCTGATTCCGGCAAATCCCGCAAATATTTAAACATCACATCCCAACGTCGTCAGCGAACTAGCGGCACTTACCTAAACATCACATCCTTGCCATCCCAAGCCAAGCCCTCCCCCAGCTGCCGCTTAAGATAACCCTAGAAGGCATGAAGAACAACAACAATCCAGGAAACGGAAATCTGAATCTGAACTGCAAAGTCGGCTGGGAAAATAATCGAGACGCTCTTTAAACCAGACCGTGGATCTGGAGAATATGATTTGCCCAGTCGCACAATCACAATCACAACTACCATCAAACGCACACTCACACATATACCGATACCTATAACTCCCAAAGAGACGGTCACGGCCAAGGCCCGCATTCGCTCACCCCTCCATGTCATAACCTCAAGGCTGGCTCCGCCTCCCTCGTGAACTCGCTGTGTACGAATCCAGCTCCAACCAACTGTAACAATTCCCAGATCCTGTCAAACACCGACAGGAACTTCTATGACTTCGAACTTGGCCTTCAGATGGGCAGGAACACCCACTCGATTTGATTCTTCGCCTGGATGCGCATAGAATGGAGGATTCTGCGGAAGAGAGCCTTGATGGCTCGTCGATAGTCAGTCATTTTGCTTACAAAAGATCGTATTTATGATTGTTGCTAATTCATAATTCGCAGAAACCTGTATCCTCCCTCCGATCCCACTTCGAACAGATGGCAAATTCAAACCCGAATAATAATGATACCCCCCGAGCTATATCACCAAAATCGCAAGGCCACCTTGGTAATGGGACGGGAGATTATGTAAAAGGCCTCCCAGGGAAACAAGAGAGTACGAAGGTGTCCGGGGACAGTCAACAGATCACGAGAGGCAGGCCAAGGGACCTGGTTGACATTGGAGGACTCCATCCGCTTCGAACGAGCAGCAATGCCGCCCCGTCGCCTTCACCGACACCTGCTTTTCGAGCAAAGCCTGCAGTGTCAATCCCCCCAGCAGTCACAATCGAGCCTCCACAATCTCCTCCCAAGGAAAAGGGTCTGAACTTAAGTTTGTCAAGTACTCCGGCATATCTCTCGGCGGATGCCCCCTCACCAGCTGGCTCTCCCTCAGGAAGATCGTCCCCAAGGCACTTCAGAATTCCAAGCAGACCCCATACACCTCTTTTGGAGCCTGGGAGCTTGCCTCCTTCTCAACCTCCTTCTCCACCCCCACCTCGACGGTCTGGGGAAATGAGGCGATATTCGTCGTACAACCCATTACCACCTCCTATCAACAGGGCGGATAAACCGAAGGTTGCGAGCAAGCCTACATCCTTGGGGTTGAGGAATGGACCGTCTGCATTAGAACCTTCTCCAACTCGGACCTCAATGGACCGACCCTCCCCATTTAGTACCCCTCCTAGTAGTAGTGACAGTAACCCCGAGCATGAGATACCTGCACCACTTCCCCGACATCCGAGGCCCAATAGCACAATTGAGGCACTTACACGGACATCAACTCCTCAAAGACAGTTTGAACCACCTCCTGTGCACCATGTGGTTATAAGCAAGCGAAAGGACCAGGAACTTAATGGTTTGGGCCGAGCATTCATATCTCCTCAGGTTACAGGTGATCTGAGACCGGCATTACCTACAAGACCTCCAGTAACGTCTGAAGCTCAAAAGCTCCGGGTACTATCTCCACCAACCTCGATGATGCCGCCACCGCCTCCACGGCCATCCATGGATCGCAAGCGCCCAAATTTAAATACCGATACTGTTATAAATCCAACTCCAAGTGTGACTACCCCCAAAAGAATATCCTCTACGCCAACAACCCAATCACAAACTCCACCGAGGTCCCATGGACGATCCATGACGGTGGACAGAACGTCTGATAGAGCTCCTGCCGAGTTTCGAACGCCTATAAGAACGCCTATAACTACGCCTGTAACCCCGCAACGTGCGGCGTCTTCTGCGTCTTACATCACTCAAACCTTAAGTTTGACCACGGGCGATTATCCCGATACTTCGTCTTCAAATAGGCGACCTCCCGTGCATAAGCAGGGTATTCATGAGATATCCGCCGGCGATAAAGACGCCCCTCGAATCATGGATGTTTGTGGCGAGTTTCTCTGTGCAGCCAGCACTAGAGGCATCCGAGGCTGGAGCTTGCGCCATGATAGAGAAATAATGACCGTTATTCCCGAGGATGGTACCAAAGCTCTTTCGATGGCTTTCAAGCCTACGTCAGACGTTGAGGATGAAGGCAGCCTGCTCTGGGTGGGTAATAATATCGGCGAGATTATTGAGTTAAATGTTGCTGCGCAGGGAGTAGAGATTAAAAAGCGCAACGCACACACTCGACGCGATGTTATTCAGATACACAGGTACTTGAATCAAATGTGGACTATCGATGAAAGTGGTCTGCTATATGTGTGGCCGCCAGATACTACTGGATCTCCCAACCTCGCCAATCTCCCTTCAAACCCTTTCAGGTTGCCAAAAGGGCATACTTTCTCAATGATTGTCGGTAGCGAACTATGGCATGCAGCAGGCAAAGATATACGGATCTTCGTACCAACCGTGGACGTATCAGTGCAGTTTCAAGTTCTTCAACGGCCGCTACGTCAAGAAAATGCCGGGGAGGTGACATCAGGCGCTGTTATTAGCTCTCAACCAGATCGTGTCTACTTCGGCCACACAGATGGGAAAGTCAGCATCTATTCTCGCGAGTATGAGTTCATCAAGCTTGTACATATCAGTGTTTATAAGATCACATCTCTTGTGGGTGTCGATGGTCTGCTTTGGGCTGGCTTCAGCACCGGAATGGTCTACGTCTACGATACAAGTCAGACACCGTGGGTGGTGAAGAAAGATTGGCATGCTCATCAGGACCCTATTGTCAGATTACTGGTGGATCGAAGTAGCTTCTGGACGCTCAATCGTTCACAGGTCATATCACTAGGCCAGGATAACATGTTTAAGGTATGGGATGGACTACTTGAGAAGGACTGGATTGGTAAGTGCCCAGAACGAGAACAAGAAACTTCAACGCTAATTCGGCAGAAAACCAAATGCAATCTCAAGAAGGAGACTTCTGTGATCTTAGCAGTGTGCAAGCTTTAGTCATGACTTGGAATGCTGGTGCAAGCACTCCTTATGATTTGAATAAAAGACCTACAGATGAATCATTTTTCCGCAATCTACTGCAAAGTAGCCGCCGCCCTGACATTCTCATTTTCGGGTTTCAGGAACTTGTCGATCTCGAGGATAAAACGCGTACAGCTAGTATGTCTCCCGCATTTTGGGTTGACCATTGACTGACCATTGCATAGAAAGCTTTTTCAAATCCAAAAAGAAAGATCCAAATTCCGAACAGGAGCATATGAGCCATCAATATCGAGATTGGCGTGACTATTTAACTCGTTGCTTGGACGATTACATGCCTCGAGAAGATTTGTATCACCTACTGCACACTGGGAGTCTTGTAGGTCTGTTCACCTGCATATTTGTAAGGGCGCCTCTCAGAGAACGCATACGTGGCGTTAGTGCGGCTGAAGTCAAACGAGGGATGGGCGGGCTACATGGCAACAAGGTTTGTGATTTTTGGCAAGACTTGATTCTTCTCTAACAAATGATAGGGCGCTCTGGTTGTTAAGTTTCTACTAGACGATACCTCATTATGCTTTGTCAACTGTCATCTAGCAGCTGGTCAGACGCAGACGAGAGATCGTAATGCTGACATAACGGCAATACTTGACGGCTCGCTCTTCCCCGCAGAACGGGACCACAGTGTCCGACAGGACAGTTATGTGGGCGGAGGTGATGGCACTATGATACTCGATCACGAAATCTGTGTTTTAAATGGCGATATGAACTATCGCATTGATACAATGGGGAGAGATACGGTGGCCAACATCTTGAAAGCCAATAATCTCAGCAAGTTGCTCGAAAGGGACCAGCTACTAGCATCCAAGAGGAAGAACCCTTGGTTCAAACTCCGCGCGTTTTGCGAACTTCCGATTACATTTCCGCCAACGTATAAATACGATGTGGGCGAGGACCGGTACGACACGAGCGAGAAAAGGAGATCTCCAGCTTGGTGCGACCGAATCCTGTACAGGGGTCGTGACCGTATTGAGCAGCAGAACTATGGACGGCATGACCTTCGGGCCTCTGATCATAGGCCTGTTACCGGGGAGTTCCGTATGGTAATTAAGACCATTTCTCCGCAGAAACGTGCGCAGAAATGGGAAGAATGCCACAAACAATTAGTAGGCATGAAGGAAAGGCACGGCAACGATATGATGTGAGTTCTCTTGGATATTACTTAGGCTCGCATGCTTACAGTTACAGGCTCGATTACCTTGGAAATGTCATTGGCTTCGATGCTGCCACAAGCAAGCAATTGATCTTACAGAAGCAGAAGGGCCGATGAGCAAGCCTGCCCCTGAATAGCCAGAATACCTACACTAGTCTAAACTGGACATTATGTCTCGAATATCAACTATAATATCTGGATATACGACGAGATTGGAAACACTCCTTCAACAGATCTATCGAAGGACCGAACGGACATATCAGTCTCGTGCGACTCACGTGATGACGTGATTGTCCAAGCGGGTGCTAGCGCGAGGAGAAGGATTGTTCACGTCATGACCATATTCGACAAATCGGGAAGCTGCAACGAATTTGGACATGACTTACTCCTGACATGACGACATGAAAATCTGGCCGGCTACAAGTGTAAGTAGGTAGGATTTACGCAGGAACAGCCTCGCACCCACAGATAGGTGGTGACGACGTGTATTTAGTATCCACACCCCGCCTTTGCCTTACTTAGAGCAGGAGCATGTATGACCAATTCATACCTACGCACGTGACCTGAACTTACTTATTGTTTACGTGACTTCTCCCTTGATGGTTCCAAGACCTTTCCTCAGAGTTCGTTATCAAACTCCTCTCATTAAGCAATTCCACGTCCACATGCACGTTTCGAATCATACCAACATCCCATTCATCCGAACCCTCATACTTCCCACAGTCTTTAAAATGTCGCCAACGCAGCCCGAGAAAAACAGTGCTAAATCTAACGGCCACAGTAATGAAGATGTAGACGGCGAGCACAACGAGTGGAAATTCCGCGCCCCGTACAAAGTCCACGACAACGATCCCAACTTCAAAGCCTTATACGAGGGAAGTTGTCACTGCGGGAAAGTACAGTATCAGCTTAGCAGAGAGAAGCCGATCAGTGCTAAGTTCTGCCACTGTTCTACTTGTCAGGTTCTGCATGGTATGATCGTCCGTCCGTAACTTTCAAGCCCATCCCTATCCCCATGCTAGCCCCTTTTCTCAAACACGAAACTAACAAAATGGCATTGTATCATCAGGCGCGCCTTTCCAATGGGCAGCAATATTCCACAAAGAAGACATCAACTTCACCCACGGCCACTCGGATCTCGGCTGGTACGAGAGCAGTGAAAAGACAACGCGCCACAAACTTCCCTGTAAAGTCTCCTGTGCCTATTGCCGGTCCCCCATCATGGACGAGGGTAGGAATATGATCTTGCTGTTTCCCAGCTTGATCAAGTTTAAAGGGCGTGGTGAGAAGGAAAAGTTTGATCCTGAGTGTCATATGTTTTATGGCAATCGGCAGCTGGATATCAAGGATGGACGCCCGAAGTGGACGGGCATTAATGGGAAGAGCGAGCTGGTTGAGGATAGTCCGGTAGAGATGGTGAGGAAGCGGAAGAGGGAGATCGAGGAGGAAAAGGAAAAGGGGGTGGAGGGGGAGAAGAAGAGGGAGAAGATTTGATTGGCGGTGTGGTGTGAATAAGTGTTTTAGAATGTCCCCCCCCCCAAAAAAAACTAGGCTTCATTCGTTCAACTTGATGACAAAATGGATAGAATAGAGTAAAGATGTCTATGAAATATTATCTAGACTCACATTATAAAAAGCAAGTTCAATAAGATTAATGCGTGTCTCTTAATCGCCCAAAACATCGCTCTTGGCAAACCAATGATATCTTAAATATTCTCAACCATTTCACTATACGACTTGAAACTCTATATTCTTCTTCGAAAGAGATCTGTGAAAGCAAATTGACAGTATCAATACCCACGCCCAGATATCTGAATCCAAACCGCGGAGCCTCACGCTTTGCACATGCCATGACGGCGATGCGTATTGTGTTTTGTGAGGACAAAAATTGACATAATCAGTATTATATCTAGAACTTTATTCGATAAAATCAAACTGCAGCACGGACTTCTACATCCGTCTGCAACTTCGTATGAAAACAGTCAATCCCCCCCCCCCCCTACCATTCCTCTTTTTATACTCAGGGGACCACCTCTTCACAGCCATCCTTTGTGTCCTGAGACATATTTGCAAATCGGCTCCTTAGCGCTAGGAGCAGTGCCCTGAGCATGCCAGAAGACCCAGGGGAAGCTGTGCCGTGCAATACAAAGGTCATGTTACTTCAACCACCCCCTCTGATGTGGAACTGAGGGAGCAAGTATAAGTATCGAGGACGCCGGGAGTTGTCGACTGTTGGCTGCAGTAATTCGCCGTGTAGATGCAGGATATCCTCAGACGAGCGGAGGCCGTACAGCGGAGAGAGAGCGAGAGGAAACATGGGTCCGACTGCGCAGCAATGGTTTCCGCCGGATTGTGACGCGGTGGTCCTGCCTCGAAGGCAAGTGAGTAGATATATATGGTAATCTGTTGTCTTTTAAAACACCCCTCTCGGTATCTGGCCCTTCAAACGGCTCATGACTTCCAAAACTTCCAACCCCAAGTCTTTGAGCCTTCATTCCTACGCGCGGCGTCTCTCTCGACTTTCTTCTGGGCCCAAGTCTGCACAATTTCAATAATTTCCTCGTCTCCCGTCTTCTTCAACTCCTCAACACATTTCTCCGCCTCAACTCTCGCACTCACTCTCCTACTTGATAACAGCGCCTCAACTACATTTGCATCGCCCCGTCGTATCGCCATAACCACGCATCCACTGCTTACAATACCACCTTTCTCTATGATTTTGCTAACAATCTCCACAGGCTGATTCCCGGTAATGGCCGCCCACAGCGCGTACCCGGCCGGCCAGCCATCATGTACATCAGCGCCGTTGTCCAGCAGCACGTGCAGCACTGGCACGATGAGCGCGGGTGGCCGCGCGCAGGCATCGGTGAGGAAACTGCGGAAGCAGTAGTCCACGGAGAAGCTAGCGAAGTTACTATCGTGGTCGCAGAGAGCTTGGAGGATGGAGGGGCAGGGGTTATCTAGCACGGCGGAAACGACGCCGTGGCTCTGGGAGAGTGTGAGCGATGGGTATGTATGGGGAATGAACTTGACCATGCCGACTTGTTTGGCAGCTACAGCGCGCTGGAGGAGCTCGTCCGTGGATGGTATTCCGGGCTCTATAATGGCTTTCCCTCCCAAGTGAGGGGCATTGGGAGAGGGAGGGAGGAATTTTGTGGGGATGGGTTTGCTGCCGGGTTGGATTCCATGCTTTAGGAAGAGTTGCTGCAGGGTTGCAACGTCCCCAGAGGAGCACGCGTTTAGCATGGATTGCCTTGGGTCATCCTCGTCTTTTCTTGGGATTTTGATTTCTGAATCCATGATGGAGATTTTCGGATCGACAGAAGAGATAAATTGGAAGAGGCGATGCAACTGTTTCAGAAAAGGAGAAAGTGGAAGGATCTGGTCATGTGATATATGGTATGAGTAAATACAGATGATATGGATCAGTCAGCAGGTAGTGAAATCTGGTGATCCTGACTTCTAGCTTAGACACACTTCACCTTGCAACATCAAATTCCAACAGACGAACACAGAGGGCAGAGAAGCGATAAAGACAGTTCGTGAACGCAACTTACGCTAAGAATGGTCATGAAGCAAGGCAACGCGGGATTTGAGGCAAAAGAAGGAGAGGGGAGAGTGCAAGATAGCATAGGACATTGAAATGGAAAGTTCATGAGACATTAGTCAAAGAAACATCAGCAGGGCAAGCAGTTGCCAGAATGGCCGTGCTGTGCATAGGGCTCATTTACTTTGTCCTCGAGATGGAAGGTGGTGAAGAAGAAGCAAGGACAAGGACTAGGTTGGCTTCTAGACGTGCCATGCGCTAATAGTGACTAAGCAGTCTACCTCGGCACGTATCAGTCATAAGGGAATGATGAAGCAAACAATAGGAAGTATCTTTTGACAAAGCTGATCAAAGCCTTCTCCATTGCGACCTCGTTGAAAGGCAGCGACAGATGTCAACTCTCCTCCACCAGCCCAACTGGGTTAATGGCGCCTACCAATCGGCTTCAGAAGAGCGGATCCACGTTATCAACCCCGCAACCGAATCTGCAATCGCAACAATAGACTCTACGCCGCTTCAGACGGTCAACTCTATCATCTCATCCTCGTTGGACAATTTCTCGAGTGGCATCTGGAGCAAGGTGGATGCCTCAACTCGGTTCAATGTTCTATCCAAAGCCGCAACTCTGCTCCGTTTGCGTCTTCCCGAGTTCATCGATCTAGAAACTCAACAAACAGGTCGGCCCATCCGTGAGATGAAAGCGCAGCTCTCTCGAGTCCCAGAATGGCTAGAATACTTTGCCTCATTGGCACGAACCCACGAAGGACGCGTAACCCCTTTTAAAGGGCCCGTGGTAAACACCCTCATACGTCTACCTTTGGGGGTTGTCGTTCAAATAACCCCTTGGAATCACCCACTCTTGATAGCGACGAAGAAGATCGCCGCCGCACTCGCAGCCGGAAACTCTGTTATTGTCAAACCATCGGAATCTGCTCCGTTGTCTGTGCTAAAGATGGGCCAGCTATTTCAAGAAGCGGGCTTGCCTGATGGGACTTTGCAAATTGTGTCTGGGTACGGGCGAGAGACAGGCAAATTCCTCTGCGAGTCTTCACTGATTTCCAAGATTGATCTAACGGGTGGCTTGGCGACTTATGCTGCAATCGCGCCAACTGCAAGCAAACATCTCATTCCAATCATAGCTGAGTTGGGAGGTAAAGCGCCAGTGTGCATGTTCCCCAGTATATCGGTTGAGAAGGGGGTGAAGGCGGCTTTGTTTGCCAGTTTTATTGCAAGTGGGCAGACTTGCGTGACCGGCAGTCGGCTGCTGATACACTCTGATATATATGATGAGTTTGTCGACTTACTAGTACGGAGGACGAAGAACCTGAGGGTTGGTGCTCCAACCGATGAGAAGACTCAAATTGGTGCTGTTATCTCACGTGCAAGCGTAGAGAGATGCTCAGCGTTTGTCTCACAATCAATCGATGAGGGCGGCAAAGTTCTCTGCGGCGGGAGCCCCACCAGCGTAGACGGCAAGGGGTATTTCTTCCAGCCAACTCTGGTTGAGACGAAAGCCTCGAGCAATCTTGCATGCAATGAAGTTTTTGGCCCTGTCATAGCTCTTGTCAGATGTGAATCTGAAGAGGAGATAGTCAAGGTTGCCAATGCAACTTCTTTTGCGTTGGGCGCATCGGTGTGGACGAATGACTTCAGCCAGGCACATCGTGTAGCTGAAAACATAGACTCTGGCATAGTCTGGATCAATGGACACCATCTAAACGATCCCTCCTCTCCCTGGGGCGGATTCAAGGAGAGTGGGTTGGGTAAAGAGAATGGTATTGAAGCTTTTGAGAGCTATACGAAAGTGAAGAGTACAATCATCAACTATGGACAAGAGCCGACGTGGTTCGATGATGAGGTGGAAAATGCACGGTACGGCTGAATTTAAGGCTCATATACCTACTCTTACTATATTAGATTGATTCATAAAGATGAGTATGTTTTTTACGAATCTGTCTTGGAATTCTGAGTTGGGTTTCAATGCAAATCATCAAAATTCAGTAGTCCTCGTCTATCGCCAAACACAAATCAGTGAATGGAAACATTACAGGATTTAAAAGAGAAATTTCCCCCTATCTTTGGACTAAGCTAGGGGAACCAGTCAAGCATAACACCTTTTGCTTCCCTGGCTCAAGTCTTTGATCGTGGTTGATAATTTCCCCGGTCTCTTGTGTTGGAAAAAACCATATAGTGCTATTCCGGTTTGCTATGTGTTCTGTTTTGAACAGCGACACTACCAGAGGTACACCATACTATAAAGGTCAGGGGGTGTGATCACGTGAGCTGAAGAGCTTAACCTAAAACTAAATCTCTGAGCAAAGTTGCACCGATTGTACTAGCGAAGAGGCTTTATTGACAATAAGTCATAGTTATGAAAGTGTTACTACAATTCAAGCAAGTATCTAGTTGAACAAATCACCAGCAAGGGGGTCCTTCTACAGTAGTCTCGCTAAAAACTTCCCCACCTCGAAAAATTTCTAGCGGCGCGTTTTGCTCCAGTCCACATAATGCAATAACATGCAAGTTCTCCGTCGAGTCTCCAAACTCAAATCCATCTACCGCAGCTCATTCAGATCACGTAGCACAATGCCTCCTATAAAAGTAATCCCTTTCGCGGATGACTTCGCGAGCGCGGATGAGTACGTTGACTCACTCTTGCGCTTTTCAGCAGCGTCGACCATTTTCCAGACTTTATGCGGCGGAGTTCACATTCTCGATTTCTTTACCCGCGAACCAAGCCTATATCATAAAGTCATCCCGGAAGAATGGCGCTCGTGGCTCTTGGCGCAGGGGTCGATGGATTTGCTGAATCTGCTTATGCGGGATGACTTGGAGCAGCCGAGAACAGATGAGCCCCCCGAGAGTCTCATCATGTATATTAGGGAGATCAGAAAACATTCTTTGCAGAGGACTGTTGCTAGCCATGATCAAAGCGAGCCGAAACTTCCTAGACATGTTGCGGTAGGTATGATACCCAAAAAAGTCCACGAGGTCGCCAATTTCGCGGACTATGTCGTTCGGGTTGCGGATGATGTTTCTACGAAATCTGGAAAGGAAATCACACATTTTGTTGATTTTGGAAGTGGCCAAAATTATCTCGGGCGAACGTTGGCTAGTCCGCCGTATAATAAACATATTGTCGCGGTTGAGAGTAAGGAGCTCAATATTAATGGCGCCAAAAGAAAGGATGTTTTCGCTGGTGTAGGTGAAAGAGAGAAAGTTATGCGGAATAAAAAGGTCTACCGAAAGATGCAGGATAGCAAGACTCCAGTTGAAGAGATGGACGACAAGGCTCGAAGAAGAGCTGCAAAATCACAAAGTCTTCCAGCCCCTACATCTATAGATTTGAGGCCGATCAAGGATCTGGCAACAATATATACTCCCGCGGAGGGGAAAGGCTATATGCAATATGTTGAGCATATGGTACAAGATGGCAATCTCTCAGATGTAGTGGAACAAATCGAGAACATGAAGCTCGCCGTTCCATCAGGTAATTTACAGTTCGTCAATGGCGAGTCCGAGAACCCTGAATTACCACAAGTTCTTGACGAGATATCGAAAGCTGAAGACATCCGCTTAATGGCCGTCTCCATCCACTCCTGTGGCAACCTCTCCCATCATGGTATCCGATCACTCATTCTCAACCCCGCAGTCCATGCCATTGCAATCGTAGGGTGTTGCTACAATCTGCTCTCCTCACGTCTTGGGCCATCAACCCTCAAGCACCCGCACATTCGACGCAACTTGAAACCCATCAACGCACCTCAACTAGACAAAGATCTATCTGATTGCGACCCGCACGGCTTCCCCATGAGTGAACGCTTAGCAACGTACGGCGATGAGGGCGTCAGGTTGAACATCACCGCACGAATGATGGGAGTGCAGGCGCCACTAAACTGGACCGCGAAGGAAAGTGATTCCTTTTTCACACGACATTTCTACCGCGCTTTACTACAAAAGGTTTTTCTCGATTACGGCGTTGTGTCGAAGCTACAGGGAGACGAGAGTAGTCCGGAATGTACACAGCCAGTTATTATCGGCTCGCTGAGGAAAGGATGCTACGCGTCTTTCACAAGCTATGTACGTGGGGCTCTTGACAAGCTAAAGGCTGATCCCGAGAGAAGCATGCCGCTCGGGGACAGGATGGGGAATATTACCGATGAGGAAATCGATGGATATGCCCAACGATACGATGCGCTGAAGAGGGAATTGAGCGTGACGTGGTCGCTTATGGCATTTAGTGCTGGTGTGGTGGAAAGTCTGATTGTGGTGGATCGATGGTTGTTCTTAAAGGAACATGGGGATTTGGTGAGGGAAGCATGGGTAGAGCCTGTTTTCGAGTACAAGCAATCGCCGCGGAATCTGGTAGTAGTTGGAATCAAACGATAATTGTTTGAGTCGGATCCACCTCCTGAAAACTTATTTCCCTGTCACGTGTGCGAAAAGTTGCTGTCTCTTTGGATTACCCACTGGCAGGTTGAGCAGGGCTCAGTCCAAGCTTTGGATATGAGTATAGATTGCCTCCGCATTTCCAAGTTGTAGGGTCGAGATTACAGGTTATTATTATGTGGCCCTTCACCGCATGCACATCAGAATCATCAGAAAGTCTTGGAAAATAGTGTTGGGTATCACGGCAGATGTTCATATCAAGCTAGCATATGTATCCAAAACTATCAAGCCGACAACCATTCACAAGAACCAACTCATCAGGAGCGCTCCCAAGCCAGCAACCACACCAGCTACGATCACCGGGCTCGAACCTACAGCAGAGGCAGCAGAAGCCCTCGTCGAGCTTGAGGCAGCTGCCGAGGAAGTAGAAGTGGAGGGTGTTGAGCCATTAACTTCTTGTGCTACAACCGAGACCGAAACGCCCGTGGAGTTTGAGCATTTATCGGCGCTAAGAGTCTCAGTATCGTTCTTGAACACAATGTCTGCGCACTATCGTCCTGTTAGCCTTATGGTTCTGAAGATTGTTATTGAAAGGGTGAAATACGTTATACAGAGCACTGCCCGTTTCACCAACGGCCACCACTTGGATACTGGCGTTTGTGCCATCCGCTGGGCTGATCCCGGCTGGCAGGGTAACTTCTGGCAGGCAAAGAGTGCCGTTTCCCGTCTCGTTGAGGAAGGGATTGATGAGGGAGATGTTGAAGGTCGGGTAGTCGGTTCCCAGGCCCAGATTGACGAAGATGTAACTCCAGGGATGGTGGAGATCGAGATTGAGAGAGCCGCCAGTCAGTGGCCAGGTCGTTCTATTGGTTTTTGCGGTTTGGTTGACGTTGGCACCTACACTATTATTAATAAGATATCTTTTTTCTGAACCAACTGTTCTAATTAGGTTATTTGGTGGAGTTGGCCTTTGGTCATCTAAGATTCGCAAGGGAGAGGTACTCACATGGGTAGATATATTGAGAGGCTCCAGTTGCGAAGGAGTCACCCCGCGACTCAGGATACTCGATGCTGAAATGAGCACTGGCAAGCGATACCAAGAAGACGGCGACGGTAATAGCTTGAGAGAACATGTTTCGTCTGGTTGGTATCTCAAATTCGAGGTCTGGACCATGGAATTTTTTCCTTTCTGATAGTGAGAAAGTGAGAAAAGAGCTCAAGGTTGTGATCGATCTATAGACGGAGGGGGTCTTCCACTTTTGTAGCTGTTCTAACAATGAATCAAATCCCGCAGTCAAGCCGCCATTAACCCACAACAACTCCAAAGCTCACCTGGAGCTACCCCGGCTTTGTTTCCATCCAATCAAATACAACGAAGTATAAACCACAAGGATCCTCAACTAAACATATCTTCCCATTCTCCCCTGTTTATGTAGGACAACCGCGCGAAAAACCTATGATTTGTGAAAAACTTGCTCACCAGGTTGAAGATGCCAAGCAACCACTGCAGCTTGTTCTTGGCGAAATGAGGAAAACATGCTCATATTCTCGCATTGAGGCCTTTGATATATAAATAATTTCCTTTCGACGTCCGACGAGTTTGACAGAATGATGGAGTGACAACTTGGCGTTGTTTGTCCTACCCGTGCTATGTGCATTTCTCAAGGAGAATGGAAAAAGTAACCCCGGGTACGCAGTGGAAAATACACAAACCTTCAAGGCTATTCTCAACTAAGTTCAGTCAAAACCGTTTAAGACTTCCTGTGAAGCTCTAGGTATGTAGTTACTGCTATGGAGTAAGTTAATTTTCGTTCTTACGGGGCCTAAATTAGAAGACGGGCCCACCCGCCGCCGGGTTTACCAACACTACTTCTGCTGGGATCAACGACTGAGTATGAAAGATGATATGAGCGAGCAATTATCTAAATCTGTTTTGAGGATATAAATCTGCCCACAGACATCTGAGCTGAGCCTTTTTGAGTGGGGGTACAGTTAGTATTTACCTTGCCCTGTTCAGCATGACGCGCGCGCTTGGCGATCAACTCCCCGCGATGTGGCTTCAAAAAAGCGGCACCCGATATGATTAGTGTACTCGGCTTGGAACCTTTAGAATCGGTGCCGCTTTTTCGGCCAGGACGAGCCCCTGAATCATGTTTTAACCTCATCTGTTGACTTGGCGATTGCAACGTCAAGTGTTCCATAATGCCTTTCAATATCACCGTTGCAATTATTCACCTCCAAGACCTCAGTGTCGATATCCGGTGACTAGATTGACTATGGATGCACATTTTGGACCGCCTCCTCCGCACAGCGTGGAAGATTCCGTGCAGTCTCAGCATCTCGGTCAAAATGCACCAGCGGCTAACTTCAGGGTGCACCGTAAGCCGGTTCCAGGCGTAAATAATTCACAAAGAATTCGATACCAAAGATCAAATCAAGAACTTCGGTCTTCATCACAAACAAATCATCCGTCGAGCCTTCGCCATCAGCGTTCATTTCAAGACGTTCATGCCGCCGCAGTGGAAAGGGGCAGCCCGCTTCTCAACCAACCACGCGGGCTATATCAGAATGTTCAACCTTCTTCTGAAACACACCATTCACAGCGATTTCAACACCAGAGACCTTTAAAAGGAAGTCCGAGTTCTTCTCACTCACAAAGGGCCCATCCGCCTACAATTCACCACCAAGAATCACACCCAAATCATTGGGTTCCCTCGGTCACAGGCCATTCACCTAGACTCCACCCTTTTCAAAAAACACTTACTCCGCTGAACTCAAGTACAAGCACACCAAGAACTCGATATCAGCCATCGTATCAAGATATTCGAGCAGATAGCCGGCCGGATATGAAACATCTGAGATCATTCAGAAGTGCCCAGCCTGGCGGAGATGCCGAACCAGACAAAGAGCCGAGGAATGAGACAATGGACAACGCGACAGTATCTCCACGCCCGGGTCTATCATTAAGTATCACGATGCCTCCCAGGTTTACAGAGCCGCAAATGTACGCCAGTCCTCAGAGTTCCGGAAACGTAACCCCTCAGTCCCTGGGCCCTAGCTCTTCGACGAACTCGCTCCCTTCATCAGCCGCCTCATCGCCATATTCTGAAGCCGCCCCATCTTTAGCATCTGCATCCACCTCGACGGTAGCAAAATCAAACGCTGTGCAAAATGCCTTTCGTGAAGTTCGCCATTTTGCTGGAGGTCTGATCAGCCATCCATACGAAACTACTAAACACTTTACCCTGCTGAGACATTCTCATGGCTTGGTCTTTTTTCAAGGTCCCACCACATCCCTCGCCATATCCATCTTTTCTGATGGACCGCTGCCCCCGGACCGTACAATCTGGCTTCAAAATAAGGGCTTCTCTGGCAAGACAGGCATGCGTCTGAAGGCATTAATGGGCGCGAACGGCAGCTGGTTGAACGTTACCCCAACCATGGCAATCGAGTCGGAGCAACTCAATCCAAGCGATGAACGCGCGTGGCAGAGAGACATCACCCAATTTCGAAAGAAAGCAAAGCCAACGAAAATCCGCGAGAAGCACAAGCTTCGCGAAACAGTCGTTTTGCGTATCCCTGCTGAAGCCGGTGATGGCTATTTCTCAGTCGTGCTTTGCACCGGCGATAAGAAGAAGAACCTGTGCACTAGCCCTACGTTTCGCTTACTCTCTACTTCCACGAGCATGCACTCTATCAAAGGAGCGAGTTTGAGTACTTTGCCTCTTGAATTGGGAGCTATGGCAGTCAATGTCTATGCAACCAGCAAGATTGCCGCCGTGGCGGGTCCGGTAGCTTCAGTTGTACAGAATAGGGTCCAGAAATACATGCCATCTACGATAACCACAGCAGTTGTTAAAGGCGCCGGTACGAAGGCCTACGACATGGCCGGAAGCCACGAGAAACTCCAGAAATACATGCCATCCGAGGCAACCAGAGAAAATGTCAAAAAAGCCTCCACCAAAGCATACGACATGGCTGGAGGAAAAGAAAAAGTCCACGCGCAAGTCCACGAGAAATTCCGCACTGTGGTTAGTGACGGCAACACTCTCTACGAGCAACAACTAGAGCATTCCAACATGTCATCCAACACAGATATAGCTCTCGATGCAGGCCCCCAACCACCTTACCCAATCCGCTTCACCTGCACCAGCGAACCTCTCATAGACGCCGAGACCTCCCTACCAACCACAAATCTAGCCGGAGTACCAGACCACGTAACCAACCAACTCTACGGCCACTACTTTGCCTGGGTCCGCCCACAGCCCAAAGGCGAAGACTGGCAACCATCCCTCATCTCCGCCCTCCCACCCGACCCTTCCCAGCTATCGCGCGCAAACTTCGCACTCGCGAACAAGCGCCTCCTCACCCTCCGTCTCATAGACGGCTACGCCGAGCCCCTCCCCCCATCCGCCAAACTCACCATCCTCGTCCTCGGCTTCCTGCGTCCCGACGAGCCCCTCCAGCGCGCGAACCTGAAACGCGGTATCGAAGCTGGGGACGAGGCGGCCGAGGAAGCGGCGATGTTTGCAGAGATGAACGATGTGGCGATTGCGCAGGGCGTGTTGGATCATCCGGCTTGGGACGCGGAGGTGGTGATGGAGGGACAGAAGGGCGGGTTGAAGAAGGGGTATGCGGATGTTAGGATGGGGGTGCAGAGGGGTGTTGATAAAGTTCCTTTGTATAAGCTTGGGGTGAGGATGGAGGGGGATAAGACGAGGGAGAAGGGGTTGACGGTCGGTGGGTTTTACGTTTTGCGCTGATGGATATGAAGGCGGATATCAATGGTCTGACAGGTGAAGAATGCGATAGTAGTACGTTTTTTATATTATGAGCGAGATACCCCTTTTGGAAACTGCTTTCAGGATAGGAGCTAGGATATAGGATATTTATAATCAATTGTATTTTAGGCAGAATGCATATCGAAGAACGGTAAATATTATATGCACATGCATGGACTTCTGCATCCCCCTTTTTCTCCGCTCCCCACTAGCTAGCTCTGAGCCTACCAATTGCAAGGTTTAAAAAGCGTCTAGGCCTCGTAAGTACGGCGTATTTGAAGGCTCTGATTCTTCCACCAAGTTGCAACCAAATAGGTCAAGTAGCTTGTCATCCTCTCAATCTCCAGTCGACCTTATCTTCTTCAACCTATAGAATTTGGGGAGCTCAGGTTTTCGAGGACATTATTATGAACGGGAAAGGGGGTCATGAAATAATCGTCTCATAACGTCAGACCCAAAGCCAGATTTACAATCACCCTTCACACAGGTATATTTTTCAAAGTATCTTGCTAAAAAGTCATCGTATTACTCGCTCATAAGCCATCAGGGTATCCGCCTATGAAATCTAGGAACCTGCTTCGCAAGAGAAAGAGCTCTACCCCTGTAGTTCGACCCTTATTTCGTACAATTCGTAATCTCATCTTTCGCACCGCTAACCCCTGTCCCATGTTACCATTTTGCCCATAATCAAATGCTTCCAAATAAAAGAAATCCTCATGCAATTCCCCAGCTCAAGATCAACGCCACATATCATACTGACTACCCCTCTTACTCGCTCCCGCACTACCACTAGTACTCGGTCTCCCCTCCCCATCCGCTGGCACCGCCAAGAACCCTCCAAACCCATTCCCTACGATAACGCTCTTCCTCGCCCCGTGGCCCCAACTCTTCCCCATATTCTCGCTCAATCCATAACTGCTCACCGGTCTGGGAGCCGAAGCACTGCCCCTCCTACCGCGCGCAGCAGCCGTTTTCACACGCGAGAAATTCCACTCCATTTCGTCGAGGCCTTTGCTGTACACTACGAGGTCTTGGTGCATGCCCTGTCCGCTTTGCTGGAGTTTCGCGAATGGATTGTTGGAGCTGAAGCGATGGTTTGAGGGTGATTGGGTAGGAGAGAGGAAGGGGTTTTGGGGGGCGAAGTTGTCGGGATCGGTGCTGAAGGGTGCTCGTGGGGGCGCGAGGTCCACTAGGGTTTCTGGGAAATCAGGGTCGCGGACGTAGAGTTCGAGGAGGTTGGGTAGGCCGTGAGAGAGAAGGGAGGAAGTGAGATAGTTGTAGTAACTTGTTTTCGTGCTTGCGTAGGAGTTGGAGGACGGAGCGTCGGTTATTTCGTAGTGCAAAGTAAGGAGGGAGGTGGATAATAAGGATGGGGTCCCGCTGGGAATGGAGGAGGTTACGCTTTCTGTTATGGAGAGATGGTCGAGTTTTGGAGCCGTGGTAAGAACTTGCTGTAGGGTTGACGGATGGACGCCTGTTTCCGTGAGAGACAGAGTCTTGAGCGTATTCTGGACGTCGGAGCGGAAGAGGTATGTGATCAAGCCGTTGGCCGTGACATTGGGAGTCTTCTCGAATATAAGTTCGGTGAGAGGAGGGAACGGAGGGAGATATTCGCTATGTTGAAACAGCTGGTCCGTAAATAGCATCATATTCGTGACCTTCAGAGCACGTAGCTGTGGTAAGGACCCCAGAGCGTGTCGTAATATCGTAGGATCCATATTCAATCCTGAGAGTTCCAATACCTCCAAATTCCGCCAGAGGTTACCACCAGCCAGCAATTCTAGACTGCGTTCTGATCCACCCATATATGTCATCTTCCTCATATCTGGGCATCTTCCAATAACCTCTTGCTTCAAAGTATTACAGGATGGGTCATCCATAAAGAACCCCTCGGGGAGATCCATGTAGCGTAGATTTGGGCATACTGCCGCTGTCCGCGCAAGATCTGGCTTAGAAGTCTCTCGTTGCATATACGGCGTCTTGAAATACTGAACCCTCAGCGCGAATCCACCCATGTCCTCCCGGAGTGTTCTGCATAGCAGTCGAAGTCGCGCCTGGGCTGTATCTTCGGGTTCGGCATTGCGGTTTAATCGAGAGCGATGCTTGCGCTTCTCTGCAAGGACATCTTCGAGCTCGCAGTAATGAACAACATCTAGACGTATGCTATGGTATCTGCAAATACCATCAGCTCAAGCTCGGTCAGTTCAAGGATTGGCCAAACTCACAGGACGTTCGTAGCTTGCTTCCTCCACCACCTCGAGACTTGCGCGCAGTGAGATAGATCCCTTAGATCGCATAACATGCAGGTATCCTCGACGGCAGACTGTTCACAGCTGTCGTAGGTCTCATCCTGAGCATGCGGGCAAACGAGGGAGAAAATGCGCTCCAGTATTGGGCCGGGGAGTTGCGCTATTACTTCTGCGGATCGAGGTGATGCCTGCGGGGTTCCATATCGTGCTAAGCCTTTAGGGATTTCCTGCACCTCGAGGGACCGCCGCGCTTTCCTCCTCGGAAACCATTTCATGGGGTTGAATTTCGCCAGCTTGAAGGTTGGCATTGCCCTTGAAGGACAAGTTGCTTGAAGCTTGAGATTGTGGATCCACGTCAATTATCCCTACACACCCAACACGCTGGCTGCAAGCGGTAAGCAGGGCAGGGCAGGGCAGGGTACCTAGGCTAGGCTTGTTCTTGGAGGGTTGGGTATTTCAGGGGTTCCAGGGGCGGCAAATCACAAAGTGCGACGTACTTGGTTGTCTTTTTGCTTGAGGATCGTTGAGGGAAATTCGGTACTTGTAGTCGTATGAAAAGGAGTACGAGTACACAAGCGCTGGCCTCAAGTTGTTTGTTTATTAGCCATTGAATTTGTGAAATGGGCCCTGACGCTCTGTCCGGGTGCACAGTGATGTTCGTCTCTGTCCTCACAGACAGTATTTCCAGCTCCACATATACGCTGCTTGCTTCCCTTTTCTTTGCCGCCGCCGAGACTTGTCCCATTCTATTCCCAGTCGTTTGCAGCAGTTCTTTGATCTTGGTGATTTGCCAAGTGACAGTGGAGAAATTTTGCGGGAAGTCTTTGTTGTTGGAGTGACAGATGTAGGTGCCTCTATCCTATCTCATGAGACACAAAGTTGCGGTTGCAACTGAGATATTTTACAGATATTGCGGGTGTCCGTCTTGTATGGTTCCACGACCAGTGACGGGAAGCTTTGCTGGTGTCTTCGTGATCTCATTGTTTTGACGTTTATTGTAAATAGCGCTTTTGCCCTTCCCCGAAAATATCATTATTGGGTGAGGGCAGAAGCCCCCGAGGGTAATAGATGCAAGTGTTGTCTATTCCTGCTATCCTTCATTTTTCATTGAGAAGTCTCACTTACATGAGTGCCCGAAAAGGCATATGAAGCATACCAAGAACCTCGAAATGGGGGCGGGGTAGGAAGGGGAGAGGCTGTTTTGAAATTGAGAATGAAATATGAAATATGTTTTCATTGGTTTTGATATGCCATTAATGACCTCTCGATTCTTCGCATTTCCTCCAGATGATGCGCTATAATTGATAATCCTCCCATACGTCGCTGTAAATAAGATCCGCAATTGACTCCTAGATATATCCCCCAATTTCCATCATAAATACGCGTAGAAGACTTCCCTGTAATAAATTCCCCCCTACGCAAATAACGCCATCCATTCCGTACACAATTCTCTTCCCGTCCAAGCAATGCAGTAATGCGGCGTCACCTGCTCCAAACTCCTGTGTCGTATTCGAGCTGGCTGCTTTTCCCGTCACTGTCCGCAGCAATCGCAGCCGGACTTGCATACAGTCGCAATTCCCCCGAGTCTCACTCTCTCGTGCTCTTGGAAGGCTGGAATGCCAACCATATCAAACCAGTTTTCGTAGGTTCCGCCGTGATTTGCAATCCATGCTTCGATGTCTCGGAGAGCCCAAGTGCCTACGATCTGCTCAGGGCCGATAGAGAAAGGCATAAGATACTCGTGCTCGTAGAAGCTGTTGCCCCTATACTGAACATCAAAGGGGTTGCCATACGTGTTAGTAACCTTATAATATTTAAGCTCCTCCTCCATCCTCAGAATTGGTAAGCCAGCAGCCAGACGAGCCCGTGTGTTGATAAGCGTGAGCTTAGTGTTATCTGGTATCTTTTTCTTTTCCTGTCGTCGTTTGAAATGTGGAATGCGCGTGTTAAAGATTTCTTTTAGGCTACTCGTAGTTGAGATGAAGGCAGTCTTCTTACGCTGAACCCATTCAGAGTGCCTTGTAATGGCGAGCTTGCGTCCATCGAAGTCATCGAGATAGGCGTCCGAGGAACCAGAAAGAAAGCCACACCGTGGGTCCTTGATTTGACATTGACTAATTTCATCCCACGCTCTCATAACAAGACCTGGTATACCAGTCGGATCTGATGGTGTCGCCCAAGGGTGAATATTTTCCTCTTCTCCAAGTCGCCCACCAAGACGTGCCATAAACTCTTCTTTAGTGAACGGGTGGCATCCCTTGCGGCCCTTTCTAGATTTTTCCTTGTAGCCCAACGCCTCTTTGTACTTCAATTTCAAAACATCTATCATTCTGAGGCAGTATTTGAGGTTTTCCTGCGACTTGATGCCCCTAGATCCTCTTAGTCTCTTTTCGAGCAGATTAACGACAGTTGAGTGGCCCTTGTCTTTAAGGATATCTGTGCTGTCATGCACTTCATTGTCCTCAGTAGGAGATTCTGCATTGTTCGAAGCTTCACTCGCAATGGAAGCTTGATCATCATTATCTGTGGGAATTTCGGCAGATTCTGAGGGGTTTTGGCTGCCGATTCTTGGAATCTTTGCATTATGCTTGTCGGAATGGTCCATAGAGGCTTTGCGTTTGACGTCCTTATTGCCCATGACCCCTTCACCGTCACTTCCGTCATCAGAAATATCCAATAGCAGGTTGGCACTATCTCTGCCAGACATTGAGCTTTCTGCCGGCTCGGAAACATCGGCAGCCACCGCGAGCTTGCCACCCTCGGTTGCCATATCATCTTCATCAGGAGAGCCCATTATATCTTTAAAAGACGTTAGTCCCCAGTCTTTGAAATTTCACAGCGGCATTTACCATCTTTGTCTTGATTTGAACACAGAGAAGGAACCAGATCAGGAAGTCGTTTAGTGGCAGCCATCAGGGATTCGTAGTCCGTATCGCCGCCACAACATTCTCTCAAAGAGGCACCTAAACCTTCCGCGATATGTTGATGAAGAGACCTGTCTACGTTAGCGACTGGTACCAGTAGTAAAGCTCAAGCTGAACGATACTTACATCGTGTGGCCGAAATTGAGGGAGCGCAGCTTGATTGCCAGATTGAAGACGAAACACTTTAAAACTGAGAGCGTAGACTAAGTCTCCGGTCCGGAATTGGAGGATTATGTTTGTTTGTTGACAGGTGCAAGGTGTCAAAATGCTGATAGAGTTGCAGTCGAAAGATTTGAGCGAGTACCAAGCAGACAGCACGCGGCGGAGCCGATTTTCTGTCAGCAATTTTGAATAACGTCGAGTAATAATGAGATACGTGTAAGCTGAAGTTGATAAGATACTGCAGAGAAGGCCGAGGCAACGTGTGAGTCGATTCGAAGAAGGTGAGGTTGTCAAACAACGCTTCCATGCGTTCCCTATTCGAGAATCATTCCGATATGTCCTTGAGAAGTAGGGTTGAATAAAGTAGAAGGGAGTATTTAAATCGTTGAAGAAAAGGACTCGAGTGATAGATGTTGGTTGGTAGATCAGAGTGCTTGATCAAGTAAATATGGGAAATACGGTACTGCTGTTTCGAAAATGAAGAAGTGAGGTGGAAAAGTTGAAGTTTAAGAAATAGAGAGCTGAGAGCAGAGAGTCAAGGAACCTGCTGTACATTCACTTGAAAAACACGATCCAGTGAATATGGAAGCGCCGTTGTAGAAGTCGACTGACATGTGAGATGAGGTCGAAGATGCGAAGCTGAGAAACAGGTATCCGTTTAAATGAAGCTCAGTAGAATGGATTGCTTGAGCTGTTGTAAAAGAGATACTTGAGTACCTAGTCGGTGGACGAGTGATATAAGCGGAAGTGGTAGCGCCTGCGTCGAGGTTGAGACAAGCTGGATTCCTCCTACGTGAAATATTATGGAACTGGGTGAGAGTTGAGATGTTTTGTAGAAGGGAAGATGTCCCGAGGTGTGAATGTGAGGTATCGTTGAAGTCAAAGAGGACAGGCTTAGAATAGAGAGTTGATCTCTTTCTCGAAGGATAATTGTTTAAATTCAAAGAAACCTTGAGCCGTGCAAGAAGGGGCGGGTTAGAGGTTAGAGAATAGACAAAATTTCGGGGGTGGGGCCCAGAAGAGGAAGTTAATCTAATGGAATGATGAAAAGAGAACCTCCAGCGCGTGTGATGGTTGTGGGCCAAACTGAGGTAAAGGTCACTGGGTGATGAACATTCACTAAAGGAGCTTGATAAAGGGGCATATTTATTGGCAATGAATCATTGCTTCCATCCCTAATAAGTATTCCTTTTCTTTTGCTTCCCGAAAAGAATCTGATAATGACCTCTAATGCTCTGGTAGCACCTGATGTTTCCCGACTTCAGGCTAAGACTCCGTGCCAATGGGTATTGTAATACTGTGGCCTCTATAACTCCGCTCGCTCGAGGGGCTTTTAAAGCACTTTCTCCCTTGCCTTCTCATGCTCCTCAAATGCAGGCACAGCAACGTTATTGTGCCATTGAATATAATTGCACTCGTTCTCCTCCATGTATTTCAGGATCTCCGACCACTTCCAACTGCCCACAATCTGGTCAGGGCTTATACGAAATGGCAGGTACCACTGGTTTTCAAAGTCCATGGAGCTCGAATCGGATGGTAAACTTGTTTTATACCGAATGACTTGTTTGCGCATTCGTATGACGGGCCAGCCAGAATCTAATCTTGCGGAACCGCTGTGAAGAAGTCAGAGAGTTAGCATTATTTGGGAACTGTAGTTTTGAAATTGAAGGGAGTAAGCCTCGTGAAAAGCCGGCACTTCAATTCCAAGCAACACGGTACCACTAATGTTTCGAAAACAGTGAAGCATTATAGAATAAGATAATGAAACTTACTTGATGATATGAACCATGACCGCGGACTCGGGTGATCCCATGTATTTTCGAACGACTTTGTCTCGAGAAACAAGACAAGGGATATGCATTCTTACGAAGTCTGAAACAGAGCTGGTCGTGGGAATGAAAATGGAGGGTTCTCCTTCTTGAAGATTAACGTGGTTGTTGATGAGTCTAGCCCTGCCCTCAAATGTATCCAGATTGCCATCCCAAGCATCCGACAAGAATCCAACTGCTGGATCGCGAATTTTGACTTTGCTCAACTGATCTGTAACCTTCATCAACAGCCCCTTGTTTGGGAGCATTCCAATCAATGAAGTAGAGGCTGCCCAGGGATTCTGGAGTTCTTCCTGGCCTAAAAAATCGACGTTTTAGTCAATACTCAACACTATTCTTGAGCTCCTCGTATGTACTTACCCCTCAAAAGCTCATTGACCTCTTCTGCTGTTGCTGGATGCGGCTCATCTTTGCGCCTCTTTAGCAGTGTTTGATACTTTGCTTCCAACGCTGCAGTAATGTCAAGATAATGTTGAGTGTGTCGACCTGCGGAAAACATGAAATTAGTATTTCTTGCTTCCAACTACTCATTAACGAAACCTGGAAACGCGGGGTGGGGGTAGGTTGAGTGCTCTCTAAATAGGCCAAAATAGGGAGTGGAATCATCATATTCTTACCTCCAGACTGCATCAATCTAGTCCTGAGATCTTGAATGAGTACCGAGTATTGCTGAGTCTTGAGATCCTCGAGATATCGAGGTGGTGGCTGTGGTTCTTTCGATGATAAGTCTCCTGATATCATAGCAACCTTTCTCCAAATCGAAGCAGCAGAGACTTCACCCACTTCCTCGATCGTCGTATGGTCTTCATTCAACGCCATCTGCAGTTCATAGTAGTCAGTAATGTTAACAAAGTTGTTGATTGTCTCATGACTTCAAAGACGTGGGAAGAAGGACACCGAATTGGTTCAAAAAATAAAACAATGGTGTGGAACGCTACTTACTTCATTCGATAGAGCCTTCAATGCTTCAAGAGTAGGAAATTCATCCTTGCCTTTCGGACTCAGAGGCTCTGATAAGTATGCATAGACTCGTGCGATTATGCTATCAACTTTTACTTGCCGTTGATGCTGCTTGGCGTTCAGGAAGATATCCAGACTGCCAGTACTTGGCTCAGGCTGTGGGTTGCGACAGACTAGCGTGTCATGACTCTTTGATTTGAGATGATGCTCAATGTACTCGATATGAGGGTCATTGCTTTCGATGGTGAAATTTGTGGTCGTATCGAGGGGAGTTCTTTTCGAAGATAGCCGCTTCCGGATACTCTTCTTCAGATTATCGTAGGATTTCATATGCATATTGGAGGATGTTAACCTGTGTTGCTAAGAACACTTCGGTATACCGGAAGACTGAGGGTGTTGTTGCTCCACTTGCAGACTTGAAAGAATGCGAGGTTTCGTGGGGCAGCAGCCTGGGCTGCGGAAAGGCAAGCAGGTAGGTGTGAATAATGTATTCGACGTAAAAATGAAGTTTTCAACGTCAAACGTATGGAATTAAGAGCTCATGTGGTATGTTGGCACGACCTGATGTTGTGTTGGTGGAAAGTTCAAGGACGTGTGACTGGTTTTTGTTCAGAGGGAGATCTCGCTGACTTTCATGCTTCGAGGCAGGGGCGAACGTTCGCCATGATGGCAGTGAGTTCGCAATGATTTGGGAAGGTATGATCACAGCGCCTCCTCGAAGCACATAACTCAGAACCATGAATCGTCTTCCTTTTTCTTCTAATCCATGCTTTCCATATCCTTTGCCCTCATAATCTGTAACATCGATCGGCCTAACGATGGTGCTTCGTTTTCTGGGCCTGAGTCTAGATAAATCTTTGATCATCGACGATTAAACACAGTTCTTCCGACATGCTCCCGGGTTCGGTTTTCATTAATTGTACGCATAATGAGTCAGTCAAGGGAGTACAATCATACTTGTTCACATCACGATGCTACGAGGAATTGGTCAGCATTTTATGCCGAGGATGAAGAGCTATTTCCAACCTTAACACTATGCATTTCTTTGATTTGCAGCCCACGGTTTCCTTCCATTGATCCTCAGCTGTATGGGAGTATTTTTTCAATGTTTGCTTTTTCCAGTACTGCAGTATGTCCGTCTTGCACTCTTCACCACTTCAATAGTTTACTGACTGAACATGAAAGTAAATATGTGGTCTCAAACTCTGCAGTAATTCATAGTGAGTCTGAAATATTCGACACACCCAACTCTTTATCACATTCCGCAATAACGACCATCAGTTTTGGTGTGAAACAGGACCGGAAGCATATTTGCAATGCTACTTCAACATGCAGGCTATGACTCAGCCCAACAATACAGCGAACTGATATTATGTGCCCTCTATGCCGCTCCATGACTTGGTCCGGCACCGTACTTGTGTGAATGTTCCCAAACTCCTGATGGTTCTCCTAGTAAGAGTCACCCAACTCCTTCCGTAAACTCCATTGTAATTCCTTGAGATTTCCACTCCGCCTGGCACATGACAAATTAGTGATGATTTTGTGTCCAATCATCACCTCGAGTAGCGTGTACGGTGAATGTTCTGGGCTCTGAACATGATTCGATGTCAAGCTTCCGAGCCATTTTGCGGGCCAGTGAACGTAGTTAGGAATTTGGAAACCAGTCGTCCCGAATTGTTTTGCGCAAACAATTCAGACCCTTGATCAAACTTTAGTAGCTTATTGTGTTCTTGTAACAAATTGCCTAGGGACATTAGTAAAGTCTCAAATATCGGATTGTTAAGTCATACCATCATATAAAATGCATCGAATTCTCTTGAAGAAATCTATTGCTGGCTTATCAAGTTGCTCGTCCAAACTTGCTGGAGGATCTTTCGACAAAGGATTTAGTCCTCCATTATGCGTTCGATAGACCGAGTGGAATATTTGAACGAGTTGTGAAAAGAACACCCTGTCCATTGATTCACAGCACCTTTGAGGCTCTTCGTTCAAACATTCTGGTAATAGTGAAGTGGATTTGAGTGTAGTGATATGAGCCTCTGCCTGAACCTGAATCAGCTCTAGGCAGAGGCAGAGGATAATAAATGAGGCAAAGCACATCAACCATGTAGACTCCTGTCGGCTCCTCAGGAATTTCTCTAACTGCCTGAGTACTCGCTTTAGGAATTCTACACTAGCATGATGGATGACTCGTTTAACTTGTCGGTTAAGCAGTCGAGAAGAATAGTGTTGCGATTGGGGGTGATATTCCTCAAGCTTCCCAATGATAGTTGCTGCTGACGACTGCGTAAATAGAATTGGACGTTTTATAGTATATATGATGAGATAAAACAAGAGAACGTCGTGCAGCAGAGGATGCTTCTATCCACAGAATTAGAACTGTTGCAGCAATGAAGACAATACGAACATACCGTTGAATGGTAGAGACCGCAAACAGCCTCCAGAATTTGTTTTGAGAGAGGTGACCGATATCCGGTGAGCAAATTTGGAAAGGAAGGGTCTTCCAAGATGAACTCAAAATGAGCTAAGCAAGCTTCTTCCACCGCAGGATCGTCTGAAGGGAGGAAGCCTACTGGCAAAGACTCCACACCCAAAGGTTGCCCAGATCTGTCTTGGTATTGCTGTTGAGCCCATGCTTGAGGATAAGGAACAAATGCAGTCGCAAGTAGCTTGATCGATCTGTCGCCAATCCATGTTACCTCGACTAAGAATGGATTCCCGATGGAATGAGAAACGTTGTCGTTGATATACGTATTTATCGCAAATGCATTGAGTTGGGGGTGGAGAAATTCTGCAACTAGGTGAGTTTTGGAGTGATGGGTTTAGGCACGACGAATCTGACCTGGAAAGAAGACCCCCGTGTGTATAGTAAGGGGTGCTCTACTACAAAGTTCTAAAGGAGAGTGACTGAGAATATTTTTGCATCTGCCACAAGGATCGCCCAGAGAGCACTGTAATTCAGCTTAGCAACTGTTCAGCATCTCAACAATAGAGGTAAGAGCTTACCGGAACCTTCATCAGCCAACAATTCCAGCAAGCACCGACCCTCCGGACCTCTTTTGCCTTATTGAATGTCGATTGATCCAGAGGTCCTCGACGATGACAATGATCACGTTTAGAGCCCTCGCCATGGCTTACAAAGGTAAATGTTGAGAAATTAGTACTTTTCGAGTTGATAGAACTCGGGTTGCTGGGACTCCTGGCCATGCGGGTCGACTCGTTTGGCTCAGGAGACAGTGTTTTTGTGCTATTGGGACTCAGATCTCGTCGAAAAATTGAGGGCGACTTAGGAACCACTGAAAAGGTGTGAAGCATGCTATCTTCGCTAATTGTTGGATGTTTGCGTGATGGGGACATTGGCTGATACTTTGGAATTGTTTCGAGCCCGGATCTTTGTACAAAAAATCCACTACAATGGGTCAGTACTTCATCTCCCTTGAAGAGCGAGAGCCGAGAAGATTGATGATTCTTCGGGAATCCTAACACAGCAGAATCAAGGAGAACCAGAGGAAAAGGTTGCTTACTTGTAGATCCCACCGGAGAAAACACAAGACCCAAGATTGAGGAGGAAATCTTTCGTGGACTTGAGACCTCGTTTTTCCCACTTATCTAAATGAACCATTTCCCGACATTCACGAAACGAGTTACGAGAGATGTCTGGCGTAACACTGTTTTCGTTTTGCAGTATCACATCTACCTCTGTAAATCAAGGTCTTGGAGTCAGTACTGGTGGTATTGCCTGGTGTGGTGGAAGTGGGGGAGTTGGAATAATGTTCTACGGGCTTGAGACACCGTTCCAAGTAGCAGTCGACTGCGCTCCTGAGATGTCTGAAGTAGGGAATGTTTATGGGAGAAGGTTACTTACTTGAGGAAGAAGTGAATACGCCAACCAGCGCCTTGAAGGCACTGGTGATTCGAAGAGAATAAGATTCGTTCCACGGGTCCACGTAATCGCTTTGACTCCTGGTAGCATATGCATCGATCAACACGGATTTCACGACGCTGAAGACGAGAAGAGCATAGAAGCACGAGAATTGTGCAGAGCCTGCAAGTTTTGCACGCCCCGAGCAGATTGCCTCAAAGGCGGAGAGAAAAGTCTCCAAGTCGTCTTTGATATCGACCAGTATTAGAGCTTTGGACGCTGGTAGTCTTGACGGACAGAATGGCGGCGGACCCGAAAGAGTCCCCAGAGCGATCTGTCGACAAAGGCTTTCCAGAAGGTATATCTCGACAGCCTGCCGCAGTAGGACTTTAGACTTGCGAAATATTTCCCATGTTTCCTAGAAATAGTCAGCAGGCTTGCTTCTTCGCCCTCGGAAAGTTTTCAAGACTCACAGGGTCTTCTTTTACGGCTCTGTTACCAAGCTGTATAAGCCTAAAAAAGTTGTACTCGGTTCGTCCCAAGTACTTTGCATCCATAGCCACAGCCTGAAGCACAGCCCATGCCGTTTCGTACTCTTCCAGTGGAAGGGTCTCGTCAGTGAGATCATTCTCAGTCAGGACATGGGTACTTGCGGCCTCTCGGCAAAGGGACCCACGAACGTCGAGATTTTCCCAGGAGGAATTGGCAAGTTTAGAGAAATCGTCCCTAGTTTTGATCAGACGAAATATTCGCTTCTTTTTCGTAGCAGACACCGTGGATTTGAATAGCATGAAATTGATGGTCTGAGAACCACCAGATGCGAACTTCAAGACTCTGCTGGGTGACCTTGCAAAATCTGGAGTTGTTAGTCTGATTCTATGTCGAAGAAGATCACGAAACTGTCGCAAATGCCATACCTGGGCAGAATACCGAGGACAGGTCTTTTAAAGGGCCTCGGAAACAGCCCAAGACTTTCCAATGATCGTTTCCACTGTCACAGCTTCGCTGAGGACAGTGAGCACACTGCTGAAGAAAATCACACTAAGTGTCATTAGTTTGGGGTCTACCCATCTAGATGTGGTATTGCCAACCTTCTTCTTGAGTATTTTGCATCGCAAGCAAGGATGGCTTTCTTTTGAGGCCATTTTCATCCGTTTTGAAGGCTGCGAAGAAGCGGCTATAGGCAGGGCATTGAGGGCCAAGGGAGGAGTCAGAAACCCACCGCGAAGAGTGCTATAGGGTCCTAAGAAGCTTCTCGTTAGTAAGATAATAATTTATAGTGAGTTATAGTATAAAATACGAATGCTGTCCAACGCCAGAAGGGCCGTGATGTGTTATCTAGATTTTCCATAGTTTGTGAGACATTGGCAGGAGTACTTCTTCCTTTATCGAAAACAGAAAGGGCAATTGCAAGGCGCCGAGTATCTCGCTGTAATCGGAGGAAACTTACTGCTGCCTCCATTTTTAGTTTCACAAGGCGCGAGATCTTTTCCGCATCCAATGGCTGGGGTGTCTGATTCAAGATCGATTATATGTGGTCTCTTCTTGGAAGTACGAAGATTTGTATCCACTGGACGAGTTATAACCATCTCCACAGGTCTAGTAGCAGACATGCACATTGTTTTGAGCATGCTTTCCTGACTCCATGTGGGTGAAAGGGGAGCATCGAAACCCGCAAGCTTGAGCCAATTATAAGCTGCCTCAGAAATTCCTAGTAGAAATGTCAGGCTAAATTCAAGAAGTGCAATACCATCACTGACCTGCTTTTGCGATTTCGTTTTCCACAACACGAATCCTTTGGTGTAGTATTCGACATCCTTCTGCGGAAGGTGCTCCTGATTCCTTATTAGAAACCGGGGGCTCCTGACCATTGAATTGCTAGTACTCACGATCCAACAAGAAGCCTTCAAGCAGCTCGGCTTTCCTTTTCAACCTTTGCTTCACGCCTTCGAGTTCCAATGGCGTTGGCCCGGGCTGGGAGGAATTGCAGGACATGGCTATATCTGAGCTTATGTATCTTGGAGCATGGTCGATGGAAATTGGGGAGCCCTCTATATATAAGAGAGGAATGATTCATGCTGAAGAGTGTGTGTGGACCTGCTTGATATGCTCTATAGGTAGGCAGGAGCTGAAGGCAGGCGGGCAGTGTTTGTCGGTCGCCGAAACAGGCGAGCGGCAAAGTCCCATAAGCAGATGAGATTGTTCACCGGGCGAATCAGATTTGCTAACAGCATGCCAGACAAGTCTAAACTACTTTTGTCCGAGGCGGCATGCCGCCGTCTTCTTTCGGACGTCCCCTATAGGTCTACGTATTCACGTCACGTCACGCTTCGCATGCAGCTCTTCTGTCAACATACAACCTACCTCAATACTGTTCCACTTCATGGAACTAATAAATTACCTACCTACCTACCTTACATCGATGACAATGTGCAAACGCACGTCGATGGATTCCCTGAGATGGTTGCAGAACAGCGTAGGTAGTGAGATATCCGATTCTGCAAGAGCTTGATCTCACGAAGAAACATGCGATGACGCTCTTGAAGCTATTTAGCTGCAGTGCCCTACGCTTTGGCGTCACAGTATTGCGGGGATAGTTCTGTTAGAGGCTTTTAGGTTTAAATTCGGAAGATGTTTTGGGTCAATATTGACATATCTACTATATATGTTGTTGAATGTTGTTCTCAAATCAGACAACGAAAGTTGTAGATTTCAAGACATGCTTATTTGGATTGCTTTTATGCCTGCTTCAATTCGAAGCGTAACAACCACTTAGATGAGAGTCCCGCTAGCTCTCCTTCCTTATGATACACACAACCTCCGTGCTGAAGCCAACCCGCTGGTGCCAAACCCGAAAAGAGGGAATAAATCGCCGTCATGAAACGTTTCCATACGCTTTTCCAATTATGCAACCCAAAATTACTTGTACACAGAAATAATCATTGACATGAGGGGCATCCATTGACCTATACCAAATAGATCGCTCATAAACCAGAAGGACTATTGATTTTACTTCTTGTCGACGTAAGAGGCATGATCGTTGTCTTTGTGACCATTGCGCGCGGCAATGGGAGAGTTATGGCTATGCTGATTAGCTTTGTCCTTGCGAGCATCGTCGATTGCTGTTCTCTGCGCAATACTTGAATCATGACTCTTCCATTCGACCTTGGTATCTGGAGGGAAGGCTAGAATTCGCTTCATAGTCTCTCTGAGAAAGATGTTAGCGATCTCTTAGATCTGCACAAGAAATTGAAACATACCTGATTCTGAGAACCCTCCCGCCATCTACACTGGTCCATATACTCAAGATATCCTCTCCATTGCGAACGCTGAGGACAGCTCCGCAGACCTCCTCGCTGGCTTCTGCGAATTGGTCGCCGATAATAGCGTAAACCAGATCCTCCCAGTATCTGTCTGCAACCCCCTTCTTCAGTCTTACAATCCACTTACCACCCTTCTTGTTCTCGTCGTCCTCCCAAACTGGCCGAATGCCTCTCTTGAAAATGTGGTAATCAGAGACAAGAGGTAAAGTCGAGGGGCGCTTCAAGTGATGATAGACATTGAAGAAGTCTTCAATCGTATCAAAGCTTGCTATGGCATGCAGAGTCTTTTCATACTCTACAAAGCCATTGGACTTTGAAATTGGTGGCCGAAACCAGAATACCCAGCTATCCCTCAAAGTGTGTGTAGGAGTTGTTGAGTTTTTGGAGCTCTCGGTGAGGGAGGATTTGGAAGGCCTGGATGCTAGGTCTTTGAACTGTTTCTCCAAAGTCGGGGTTTTTCCAGATCCGACTACACTTCCAAAGTCCAGTGCACTTCCGGGAGTCTTCGGGGTCTTGGCAGCTCCGAAAGATGCGAATGCGCCTGAACCGAGGCCAAACGCGCTGGATGCGCCTGCGGTTGGGGAAGCTATAGAGGTCGTCGAAGGGGACATGGCCCCGAAAGGGTTCTTGTTACTATGGGAAGAGGTATCTCCATGGCGCCTTCCTAGGGTGTAGGGTCGAACAGGATGATCGTTTGAAAGAGGGGCGCCGTTGGCAGAAGGATTACCTGTGGATAGAGAGAGCTTGCTGGTGCTATTGAAGAAATAGTGGTTAGTCTTGCGCCTGCAAGGTCCACAATTGGGGTTGGTGAAAAACTTACTTCGAGCGGCGGGTCCACAGGTTATCCTTATCCATTCCGAGAAATTGAAGGGATTTCGAGTTGAAGAGTGGTCGCAAGAGCTGCGCAACCTCGTAGTCTAGAGCTTGTGGGACGACGGGTGACTTTAGAAGAAGCTGTTCGTTTTGGCAAGGGAGTGCAATCGGCGGAGTTTCGAGTTGGGTGGTGGTAATGAATGAGACGATGTTGCGTTTTTCGTTGGCGAAGCGATCTGAGGTATTATTAGGTGATTTTGTGAAAGCTCGTAGATATCGTGCGAAGAGGGGGTATTATTCTCAATTTGGCGTATTTGGCAGTAAAATGTTGGTTTGTATGTAAGTTAATGCAGAGTTGGCGTGCCTGCAGTTTGGAATGGTATGGCGGTGGAGTGGGGCGACACAAAAGGCTAGAGCTAGTGTACCTTAGCGTCATTGTCGGTATAAAATATTCTTCTCCAACGGCTTCGCTTCTTCTTTTCCTTCTTCAACAGCAAGACCTCCAACTCAAATCTGTGTCGGCTTGAACTCTACTACTCAGCTGGCACCTCCGATGAGAGGTCAAGATCAAAGCACCACTTTAAAACCATCGTCCCGAGGGCCGCTGTTACAGCTGGCTTCCACGAAATGATGATGACCTTATGATGGAAACATACAATCAAGCATCAATAGCTAAGGCATGCTGCCGAGGAGGAATTAATGTATGTAGCTTCTCCTATTCTATATATTCATATGAGGAAAACACATACTCTGGTAATACGAATCAGCTATCGTGCTTGCACGTATCGGTTGATCTTGAGATATATCTTTTGGCAAAATGTCTGATGAATTTTCAGCGCGTCAGAACCTCTTAGACCTAGATTTATGCCGTTGCTGATACTCCATGTTGTAGTCACAGCATTATGAATTGATCAAAACTTCAAATTTTTGCCTCTGCGGGGATTGATGCAATCCAGCAATGAATGTGTCACGTGGATACACGATTGAAAGACGCTGTGCTAGCCATCTCCATGAAAGTATCACCATCACTGGTTGACCGGCGGTTTCATTCTTTCATCTATCCTTTAATTCAGGGCTAGCTGTGTCTATGTGGATATCATTCTCTAGCGCAATTTCAACGACGATTCCATTCATCCTGATCAAACTTGAATCCCAGCTCCTCCATCGATTTTGCAATACTTCCTGTTTCCACCCACTTTTTCCTCACATCTGCATATATCTCCCTGCACCAAAGTTGTTCTGGGCCCCAATATGTAGGCTCCTTTTTAAAGCCAGAAAGCTTTACCCAGTCATGGAACCCATTGATATATTCGGCATCTTTTGGGTACCCGAACACGTGAAAGTTCGTTCCCTCACCCGCCTCTTCTACCCGTTTCTTCTCCCATGTTTGCATTTTCTCCTGTGTAGGTAACTCGAGCCTGTTTGACCAGACTCCGGCAATCGCTGCCGATTGAATTTCGGCAATTGGGAATGGTATAACTTTCTGAGTCAATGCCAAGAAAGCAAGCGTTGGGTGCGCGATGTCGAATACATGCTCATAAACTCCAACGGCTCGACGACCATTCGTAACTGTTGGATCAAGTGCCTTCAGAAACGGATAGGAGTAGAAGTATCCTGTGCAGTACACGATGGCATCGATATCTTTCTCTATACGCCCATCTTCGAACCGAACCCCTTTTTCCTCTACCAAATATTCAGCGATGGGAGGCACTTCTTCCTTTGCTTGACCGAATTTCTGTGGTAATGGTGACCTGACAGAGCATAAAAGGGGCTTCTTAGAAACAAAACTGATTTGCGTTCCAATATCCAAGCCAGACGCTCCGCTCCCCACTACTATGACTTTCTTGTCCGTAAAACTTTCTGGAGAACGGTAGATTTTAGAATGTGTTATGAGATTAGGATACGCAGCGTCGAAAGCCTCGATTCCGGTGACTGATGGAATGAGAGGCACAGAGTAGTGACCATTGGAAACAATTACGGCGTCATATTCATTCGTCTTGGAAACTCCCGTGATCGTAGACTTGGTGATCACTTCCCAGCGACTCTCTTTCAGTGGCCGAACATCGTCGACCTGAGTGGAGAAAGAGATGATATCCCTAATATCCTGAGAATACTTCACGAGATATTGTTGGACATCCTGCCGAGCTGGGAAGAGTAGAGATTCCGCGGGAAACGCCTGGTCAGAGAAACCCATCAACTGTTTGGGTATATTTGTATTCAAGTGCTCATACATGGGATTCGAAAAGATTGGCGCTTTTGATCCATCTGGCAATATCGGTTTCTCAAGTGGGATATTGGGGTCGGTTGAGGGAATCGGTACCTTCTCCCCTGAACTAGGAGTGTAATGCCAGATCCCGCCAACTTCAGACTGCTGCTCGAAGATGTCGATGGTGTCAAAATGCTCTTCTGCGCGCAGAAACTTTGCTGCTGCGAGTCCAGATGGACCGGCACCGATTATAGCAACCCTTTTAACACTGAAAGGGCTTGTTGCCCTTAAGACTGAGCCCATCTCCTGAGGTGCAAAGAGTAGCGTAATATGCTAGCAGGAAGTAAAAGTGCAAATGTCGCTAGAGCTTCTAGTTAACAGATCCCTTTAAATTATGGATGAATTGATAACGAGAAGTAATATGTACGGTACGGAAGGAATAAACAGGATGAACAGGAGAAGGCCTTGAGTACGGAAGTGCCGGTAAGTAACAATACTAAATGAGTGAAGTGAGGTGATTCTTCAAAAGCACGCCTGCAAAGGTGGGGCAATATGTGAAAGTTTTACAGTAGCACATTCTGCCACTTATATCCATGCAATAGCGATTCACCGCCCTGTATTTCGGGCTTAGCGTCCCCTCCAGCCTCATACAGCCGTTCGCGTCATCCCTCCACGACATTAAAGACACTACGCGTTGAGGAATATCGAATATCTAAGGATAAACACATCTAGATCTCCAAACAAGTGGAACAGAACACGCGTCTTCAAAAAGCTATGGTGTATCTTCGATCTGGAGGACAACCCTTCACCTCCTGACAATGGAGCCCCCAATCAGGACAAACGTAGGATCAACAATAGAGAGCGCAGCCCACATTCCGATCGCCCAGCTGACTCCTCTTCTTGCGGCGCCAAGCTCAAGATCTATCAAAGCAATTGTCACTTTGACATGGCCCTACAGCTCTGCCACTGGATCAGTCGCCTTCCTACTGTCTGAACCAGATTTCCGGTTGCGGAGAACGAGAGGGCAGGTGAGGGTGCAATTTGCAGGCTCAAGCGCAAAGCAAATTACAAAATCTGGGATCGCCAGTGGTGATGAGATAGTTCTGTGTCTGGAGGGTGCAGAATGGATTCAAGATGAGAACAAAATTTCGACTCCCGGAAGGGGAGTGGAATTCGAGCTGAAGTTCACAGAGAGGCTACTTCTCCAGGTACGTTCTCTTAGACCATATATTGAACTTTTGCTAACCTTCGGTATTTAGTTCCGACCAGAATCTTCTCGAGATGTTCAATTAGTCGACATAGACCACCCAGAACCAGAGTCAGCAGGGGACCCCGAAGTTATAATCCCACCAAAGACTTCCACTACAGCTCCACCTGCCACAAACGGTCATACGAGTTCGATACCGGCAGATACGAACCAGAAAGATAATGAGTTTTCGTCACCAGCCTTTCTCAAGCGAGCGAGAACCTCTTATGGGTCTGTATTTGAAGGGTTTGACCCGTTCGACGAAGCGGATGGCACAGTACATGGAAAAGGCAGAAAGAGGACCAGGTTGAGCGACGTGAAGCGATGGCAGTATAGTAGTGGATCTCCCACACCTGAACCGGAAGAATCTACGGAAGTGACTCCAGTCCCATCTCCTACACCAGTAGTGCAATCGCGGCCTATGATGACAGACGAAGGATGTCAAACAATGGATTTAGAAACCGATGATGCTGCGGAAGCGTTGGCTGATCTTTCAAGACAGGCTGTGAATGTTGCCGGCATCTCTTACGCACGGGTAGATGAGCTCATCAATCCAGGTATTCAAATCCAAGTGCCTGCCGTCCATGAGATGCCCCCGCCTATAATCCACACATCGTTCCCACAAGCAGAAATTCAGCCGATTTCCGGACGAGTGGCGCCTATTTCTCCTCGACTTCGACCCCAACCCTCAGAATTATTACCTCTGGTATCTCCATTGGTTTCAAAAAGCTTATTTGGGTTTTCGGGACCAGTCACGCCAGCTTCACTGCCAGGACATAATAGGAACCCAACTGAACTGCTTCCGGCCCCTATTGAGGATCCAGTACCACCCACTGAAGTTTCAGAAGAAGACATTTACTCAGCTAGTCCAAAGCACCGCGACGAGGCAGAGCCTACTGATTTCTCGAGCTTCACTAATCCTTTAACCGATGCAAACGGCTTCATTCCGATTAACGTGGAAGAGAGGTTCGGTTTTGAGGACCAGCATGGTCAATGGCAGGGAGACAATGCCAATTTAAGGCATACCCCGTCTCCGCCGAAGCAGCCAGACAGCCAAGAACATCTTGGTGATATCATCGAGGATGAACGTTTCTATGTAGAAGAGGGCCGAGATGCGCGCCAATTTCTCGATCATAACGTGCCCCATGATCAGGAACCGGACCACTCCCATTATCCTGATCTTGACGAGCTGTCTGACCATCACCCTATAACTGTTTGGGGAGATCACTCTGTGGTTGCGTATCCAGACTTACCAGAACCTGAAAACGGAATGGGAGATAATTATAGAACAAACACTCCACCTCCTCACTCCACGCCTATGTCACGGATTGGTAGCCAGCAGTCACAAGCAATAGACTTGATAGAGAGTAGTGACGAAGGGGAGGAGCAGGAAAACGAGGAGGTTGCTTTAGGGTATGCCTCTAACGTGGAAGAGTCTGATGGATCGATGGCTAGCGAGGAAGAAGAAGAGCAGGAAGCTGGATATCTTCATAGCCAGTATTTTCCGCAGAACGATGCCAGAGTTCCCCAAGAAAGTTACAAAGACGAAGAGAGCTACGATGAAGACGAGTTCGAGGCAGATGAGAATGATGATTATATATATGCGCCTGGGGCAAATGGAGACCCTGGAGACTACTATGAAGATGAGGAGAGCGAAATGGAGGGTGAAGGCTATGATGATGATGTTGAAAATGAGCCTCCGCAGAGACCTTCTGTTTCGCAAGCACCCGTATTCATAGACTTGCTCTCCTCAGATGACGAAGATGTCGGTGCAATGCCTGCACCTCAGCCTCGCGTCCCTATACCGCAACAGCCGGCGCCTGAACCTGACTCGGACGAGGACATAGAGGATAACATAAACGACACCCGACGTGCGGAAGAATTAGATTTGGGATCAAATAGGCATGAGCGTCAAGGTTCATATCATACTAGCGACGAGGAAAGCGATTTCGGAGACGAAGCAAAGGGTCGTCAGGAAACTCGAGACATTGAAGAACTCGAATCCGAGGGCGACGAAAGAAGCCACAATTCAGAGTCCGAGTCCAAGGTTGCACTTTGTGAAGAAAAGGAGAATGTGATCTTGCAGTTGGACGAAGAGCCAACTACGATGGATGAAGACATTTCTGACGATAATTTTCCCGAATTCCACAAAAGACAATCATCAGCAGCCCCAATATCGCCCATTCTACACCCAAGAGAGTTTGGTTTGGACGGCTCGAATGACGAAAATGTCGCAGAAGAGCTAGCTAATCCGGCTTCTAAAAGAGGCGAAGACTTCATGGAGCCAGAGACTCTACGGACTACGAACAGTGCTCAACTCCCAACTCCTGATGATACTCAAAGGTCCGAGAAAATCGTCTCTGCCGAGACATCATTCGCGACTTCTCAAGAAGTGCATGCAAGAGCGACTGAATCCCAAAATACGTCAATTACAGCATCCAGTGACATCATAGAAAATAACATCGAGGTCAGAATCGAGATCTCTGGCACGATCATGGAAAACCGCGACATTGATCAAACTGCACCTGCTGCAACCCTTGAAGATGTGGCGCGTAGTGAAGAGGCCGTGATAGAAGATCAGGAAGACATAGTTGAGGAGACCACCAGAGAGAATCTAGTGGTGGAAAGCGAGAACGCAGTGGAAAGCGAGGACGCGGTAGAAGACACACCAGTGAAAGGAACTTCCGAAAAAGAGACAACCATGGAGGAATCCACAAATGAATTTACAGAGAAAGCTACGGTCACCCATGAAATAATACAGGAGGTACTCGAACCTCAGCAATTCGTGGAAGAATTTGCTCTTCCAAGTCCAAGAAGGAGCTCCAGGCTGGTCAAATCTACAACTCTAGAGCCCAAAGAAAACGTCCGACCCTCAACGCCTGTTAAGTCTGCGATTGGTAACACACAAGATAGCTCTCAGTCAGACCGCTCTGTTCCTATGGTGGTCATCGATGATAAGCTTTCTTCCCCACAAGGACATGACGCAAGCGTAGAATTAGCATTTGCGTCTCACGATTCTCCTATCAAGAAGCACGATCTTCGGAGAAATTCTGTAGCTAGTATCGATTTACCGTCAAAGCAGCACAATCTTCGCAGCACACCTGCTGTCGAGGATGTTCCACAGTCTACGCACAATTTACGAAACTCCGCAAATGAAAACGAAACGCCGCCGAAATATGATCTTCGAAAGCATCCCGAGACGGACACTCCGACTAAGGGTCATGATCTGCGAAAGGCGCCTGTTGCGGACTTGAAACTAAAGCTCTCCAGAGCCCTGCGAACTGAGTTGAGCGAGTTTACAGCATTGAAGGTGCTGCGCTATCACATCAACTTAAAACTAGATGTCCTAGCCGTTGCAACCATCCCATCAACCGAACCCCAGCGCGGAAAAGGAACTTCACGGCAATTCCTCACTACTTTCAACATTATCGACGTGTCGATCGCCCCAAGTACCGTTACCGAGATCCAAGTCTTCCGCCCCTACAAAGACGCTTTACCCATCATCCAAGCCGGAGACGGTGTCTTACTTCGCAACTTTCAAGTCATATCTGTGAAGAATAAAGGCTTCGCGCTCCGCTCAGACGACGCGAGTAGCTGGGCCGTTTTCAAAGACGATGAAGAACCAGAAATTCGTGGACCGCCAGTGGAGTTAGGGGCCGGGGAGAAAAAGCACATTGGACTTTTGAAGAAGTGGTATGGGGATTTGGACGCGACAATGATGGCGAAGCTGAATAGGGCAAATGCAGAGAAAGCTAATGCTGCGTGAAAGCAATGGGATGGTGTTTGTTTGAGCGATCACTTTACGGGGCTGGCAAAATGGCCTGAAGGGATGTGGCGTACGGCAATGGAGATGCGACCATGTGGTGTAAGATTAGACACAATACCAAACAGATATAACACTTGTCTTTGATTTGCCTTGGCCAACAATTTCCTTTCTCTTCTTCCCTTGAATCATATGTTCCCGTAAATCTAAGCCTTAGATTTGGATGTTAAGTAGTAGGTATCTCTTTGGGTAAATCGCCTTGCCTTCACCACGAAGGCATATTTGCATAACAGC